TAGTAGGTAGTACCCGAAATAATTTAATAATGCGTTTTGAATATAAAAAAAACAGACATGTGAGGTCTTTAACTTATGTATTAAAATAACGTTCGCGAGTTCCTCCAGAGTCCTACAACAGACATTGCAATAGATGATTTTGTTGGCTGTTAGCTAAACAAAAGTCCTCGTATTTGTTCACAATAAGTTAACTTATTGCACACATATAAATGTACTAGATTATCCTTTCAATACAGCCGTTTTTCTTTAAAGATGGCTTCCATTATATGAATAACTAAAAATGTAACTCGCGATTGACTTTTCAGGTGTCGACGAAGTCGACACCCTGCGTCGACCTCTGCGATCGCGATGGATAAATTTGTCGTTGACATCGACGCTGTCTTGGACGAGTTCGAGCAGCTTGAGAGTAGGGATCATCCGCCTGACCCCATGAACTCTGCTCCTACACAGACATCACCTGATCCTGCAGTACGAACAACTCAGGTACCGTTTTCGGCGCCAAGTTTTGTGATGGAGACAAGATCAACATCATCAGAACCGTTATGGTACACGACCTCATTACGGACTTCAAGTGGAGTTTTAGTAGAGCTCTGTAATGGCACTGACACAAAAACGAATGCCAACAATTCGCCTCCTCATCAGGCTTCGGTAGCTATTGCCGATGCGCTTGTCACCTCGACGAGTCTAGCGTCTCCATCACTATCTAGCAGGCATGACTTCGGAGATCCATTAGTAGCTTCCACATTAACCAACTGCGTTATGGTGACAGCTAAAGAACCAGTAGCAACAACGACGATGAAGGCGACCGACGACGTTCTGCCTACGGAAGAGGCATCGACCAACACAACAGCGGAAATTTTCGAAGAAGTACCTGTCAAAATCAATGAATTACATTACGAAGGCAACGATGTTGCACATTCGCCATCAGCCCTCGGGGAACCTGCTGCAGAAGCTGATCCGACAACACTACATACTGACACCGAACAACCTGGTGGAGAGGATTCATTGGCCGTAATGCCAGCCATAAAACCAGATGATGAGGCCAAAGTAGTTATGATGCCGGAAGTGACGGAAGAGGCACCGATTACGGTAGACTCATCGAAGTATGCAGAGACGTTTCATACCCAACTAGATAGCGTCTCTGCTACGCCTCAAAGGCAATCGACTCCGATAAGTTGTCCGGTCAGCTTAGGCGGCGACGTGCCACCGATTCAATCCATGAGGTCAACGCTTAGCCCAACCCTCCATAAGAAAGGAATTGGTAAGGACGCTGTTGCCGTCTCTTCTGAGAACAGGTTCGTAACAGACTTTATGGGAAACTAAACTTGATAGATTTCATATCGTACATATTTCAAAAAGTGCCGCTATTTGTTTAGTCAGGGTATCGAACTTCGACTGTGTAATATCTTTCCTGTCGTTTTTGGCCGCACGCTGAGTCTGCAACGCAAGCATGGATTTAGAATGGAAAACAATAAAATCGGTCACCAACGAAAAATGGGAACTCGTTATGTTATTGATGAAATCATGGTCTGACGTGCCCTTATTAATTCAATATACCTATAGAACAGCGTGCTGTTTTCCAATATACGTTTGAGTGCAAACGCTCCTAGGGGCTGTGCTCAACACAATTCTAAATACAACAGCTAGATACCCTAGTCGAAATCAAATTTCTAAATTAGTCACAGAGTAAACAATGTGATTAATGTAAGCGAGTTGTGGGCAAGGGCACTTCTGAAGCTGGCAACTAGTACTAAATCTGCACATATATCATCATTGTCCAAAGCAACTCACCAAAAACGAATTAAGAGAAAAACGTTTTAGATTCTTCAAAGGTTTGGCGCTTATTAACAAATTATTTGAAATAGGTTCGGCGCAGGCCAAGCGATACGTGCATTGTCGAGTTAAAAATAAATTTCCGAAGCGACATTTGACATATCTAGGAAGCAGACACAATACACCTTCTCGGTGTATGTACATTTTTCAAACGGTATCACAAGCTAAATTTGTTATAATGAGAAGACTAATCTTTTCGTCTATATTCAAGATGCCCTCGTAAGAACTTTTTGCTCCTGTAAAAGATACAGGGCGGACGCGGACGTTCGATAACTGTTTGCTTAGAAATTAGTCTGTTTATTTAAGGTGAATCAGATTCCTCAAACCATTGCTTTGGAATACTTTATTAGCCCCCTATTAAGGTATACATATTAAACATACTCGCGTTTTTAAGTGAACTTTGTATCCGACAAAAATGTTCTAGCTCACTTCAGAATTATGGCTAAAGCCATTGTTCGACGAACTGATATATATTTAAGGGTGTATGCGTTTATTAAAATACTTAACACATGGCCAGCTCTGCGTTCTTTTCCACTCACATATCACTTCACGTTCTTTAAGAGGATTCTCATCTTCAAACTCTCCTGGTGAATACCAATCTCACTAACGAGATTTAATCGAACGCCACTTTGACACGCTATTCATCCTACAATGTAATATGCACCCAATGTAACGTACCAGAGAGCGCCTCACAGCACCACACCTGTACCGGCTGAATTTACGCTAATTTCGACACGAAATTCGAGCCCTGGCAAGACGTGACTATGGGTGTCAAGAGCCATGTTTATCTAGTGGTTAGTTGCGTGGCGTTAAAGCCTACAAACGGAATTTAGCATTGTTATCTAACGCTGTTACAATATGTTGGAAACGGTTTTTGACAGACAATTTAAAAACACTGGATCTTGTATGAGCCTCTACTTTTATAATCTGCACGTAAGTCAACATTACTACGTTTGGTTTAAGAGAGAAGGACAGACACTGAATAACCAGTAAATAAACCAGTAAACCAGTAAGTCTGTCATCCTTCAAAAACTAACGTTCTAAAAGCCAAAATATCGCAAACTCTACTTAATCCCTGAAATAATTATATGGTGACACATTTCGCCTTAACACACTGAATTGTTTGTTAGCAACGATCCATTATGTACTAGAGTATACGTGGTGTAAGAAGCTTTGACGGAAAAAAAAGCACATCAATTGTTCCGCTCAGAGTAATCTTATCGTTGTTATTCACATGTACACGCGAGCCTTAAAGCTTCGAACGTCGGACGCTCTATACGTCCGTTACCAGGAGCGCGTAAACGGCAAGTGTTCTATTAACCAACTGATAATGGCTGTGATGTTGGGTGACCGTAATCGATTCGGACTCATTCGTACGTTCGAATTCGTACGTCAAATAAGTCTGTGTCTGACTTTTGGGCTTGACAAGATTTTACTGTTGATTGATTGCTAGTTAGCGCTGTTGCAGTTGCCATAGGAACTGGATAGATAGAATGTTCTATCCACAAGTCCACGAACTTGGGGTTACTTCTAAAGTCGGTAGCTATACCTAACCATATTTCGCAGCTGGTAATGACCGTAGTTTAGGCGTGGATGGCGTCACCGCTACTGGGTGGGGAAAGCGGGTACTACCGGTATTGAATGGCGGCATTGGCACAAAAGAGCGTACCAAACAACAGCTGACCGAGTTTTGCCTTACTGGTGGCCCACTGTTTTTTGGGACATGTGTGGACATACTACAAAAATAAGCCTTATGAGCGGCGATAGTAGGAGCAGGTCGAAGAGGTTTCGTGTATCTGTTTGTCCAGCTCTGCGCTTATGCACAAGACGATGTGGCAAATCCATAAACAATAAGCTCACTTCGAGAAACCAAAGGCACGCTGAAAGTAATAATGAAGTTGTTATAGCAATGTCTTTGCAGCCCAAATGGTCGAGATTTGTAATCATGATAGTAATATAGATCGTAAACTGAATTGTAAGCGTTATTAAGTTTGTTGTATCGGCACATGACTTGATGATACTGGCGTATGAAAGCTAGACAGAAGAGCAAGGATATCTAATATGTATTAACGGAGAAGGGAAACCGGCTATATGCAACGCAGTTCAATGTATCACACAGATAGTGGAAACTGGGAGAAAAATTTATTTGGTGCGATACGCATTATGTTTAACCGAATTTGCTTTTATTCATTGGTTCCTCAGACGTCGATTGTGTGGGGTAAATTGGCGGCCTTGACTGTTGTTTCCCTTCACAAAGGTAGTCGAAACAGGTAGTAAAGGACTTTTTAAAGCCTTTGCCGCCTTTTTAAAGCTAGCTTCATACACATTATTTATCTTTTCCCTCTATTCATTTTTTCTCTATCCAGACCTATCTGGTCCATATGGTCCCCTGATAAGACATATGGTCCTCTCTCCGAATTGCAGGGCTTCACCAGCTGTCAAACCGAAAACCCCCATACATTCTCGAAAAACAGCAGGAGCTGGAGCCGTGTTGACGACTAGTTTAGGAGTTTCCTCGGAGCAATTTGAGGAGTTTTTAAGAAAGAAAAGCCTAGAGAATGCACACTTGCTGAGCGGGCACAGCTCACCTGTACTGCAGAAATATCGCAGTCCTTTGTATCGTTCCTCCGTTGATGTCTTGTCAGATAAAAAAGTTGATCTTCAAAATCGTGTGAAAAACATAAAAGACGACAGACTTTCTGGTCAAGGGCCTTTGGATAATGCCAAACGCACAAGCTCTGTGCATCACTGTGATAATGGCTACAGCACTTGTTCTTCACAGAACCCCCCACACGTCATAGAGATATCGGCAAAGAATAAAACAAAGCAAAAATCAACTGCCGAACATCAGTGCTCTGGAGAAAAGCGAAGTCTGGAGGACAACGCCTGTACAGGTTCACGATTTTCTGTGATATCAACGGATGACACGAAATCACCGAACGAAATAGGAAACGATAACTACAGATCAAATGAATGGGCCTGTTCCACAAACAAATCTGCCGAATATACGAGTCAACTGCAGGTACGGCAACGACAACAACAACGGCCATTACAAAATCACCAGGCGCAGCAACAACAACAGCCATCACAACCACAACAGCAGCAGCAACAACAACAGCAACAACAACAACAACAACAACAGCCACCACAATTACAACAGCAGCAGCAGCAACAACAACAACAGCCATCACAACCACAACAACAACAACAGCAACAACAACAACAACAACAAGAAAATGATAATCCATTGTCTAGAGGAACCTTGCCGACAACAGTAGCGTCAAACGACGAGACTCTCTTGTCCGGCACATCTGCACAAGACAGCGCTCACAACGAAAGCGGTGATCAGCAGCTGAATAAGAACCCACTTAGAGCGGATACCAGTAATTACTACAGGATTGTGAGCTTCGATATGAGTGGGGTCGAGGTCACAGATGACGACCTGAGCAAGCTCGAAGAAGAACTTCGAAGCGAAAGAGCGCCAAGCCGCCGCTCTCAGGACTCAAACGCCTCGATCGAGCCGGTCGCCGCCGACCAGGTGATCGCTAGTGAAATCGCTGAGAACGTGGTAAACAACAACAGCAGCACTAGTGCTGGGGGTAACAATGGAAACGATGCCAATAATTGTTTAAACTCTGATGGCAACATATCAAAATCTGCACCTGGGTCAGGTACACAGCACGCAATTGATAACCCTTTTATTGTGCCAACGACTGCTGTAGCTTCAATTACGACAACAGGTACTTTGGACGGCTACAGTGTTAACATAAGGACAAACCATACGAAGGACAATCACGAAAGGGTGACAATGGCTGAGGAAAGAAGGCAGGCAGCGTCCGCTGAGGATATGCTTACGATAGACGTTGGCGGGGACGAACGGCTTCGACAATCGCAGCAGATGGAGTTACCCCACCGTCAGATGGTCCCGGCAGTGATGGCTGGCCAAAACCGAGATGAGTGTCATCCCGGCTCGGGTGAAAGTGCTGAAACGCAACCGTTGTCGCTTCTGGATCAGGACGCTCAAGAAGCTTCTTCCCAGGATCGCAATGACCTGGAAGGCAGCGAGCCACGAGTTGGTGGAGGACGCGGAGGCGGTAGGTATTACAGCGTTTTATGGATGAAAAAAAAGTTGAATAGGTGACTTTTCGAAACGTTTCCGTTGAAATGTTTTTCCCGTAACATGTTTATATTATGTGAAGTAGCAGATGGTGTAGTGAGCCGTCTTCAAATCAAATTGGTTTACTGGAACCTTCTCGTTTTACAAATCAGTCAATTGATTTCTTCTTTTGCAGAGATAGATAGCTAGGCATGTAATAGTCAACGTTAATGACTCATGCTATATTGTCACATCTACGCATTTCCTTGTCATATCTTTGGTTGGATATTTGAGGGCATCCACTTTAGTTCAAGCACTACTTAAATTCTGAAGGATTGCGGGTTACTGTCAATACACGGTGACAGTTCTGTATACTTGTTGTTGTTGGATTGGTGATGATATGAGCGAATATCTTGAAACGAAAAAAAACCTGTGAAAACGAAAAAAGTGATATATAATCGACTTGCATAATATTATGTTCTTTGGCGTAGTTTAACTATAGTCGCTAATATAATATGCATGTGTTTCGCTTCAAGCAGAATGTGGCGTCATGTCACCAAGTGAAGCTCAGCTCGGAAAGGTGCGGCCACTGTGGATTCAAGACGAAGACGCCCCAATTTGCATGAACTGTGGACAAGATTTCACCATGTTTCGCAGGCGACATCACTGCCGCGCTTGCGGAAAGGTAAGTTCTGTCCAGTCCTATTCAATGGCACGTATGCCTGTCTAAAGCTGGATTCTACGAGTATCTCTTATGGCGTTCTACAGGACGCCATTTAATGATCTCTAGGTTGCGACTGATGCACAAAAGTCCAGCATCAAGGCGGAGGTTAGGTCACGGTGGTTTCACTATTCAACTAGAGGTCATGCATTTATATCCAAGCGTGTGGATGTTCTAAAACGACGACTTCTTATTTATTTTTTTGCGCTAATAATTATCTTTGCACGCGATTCGGTGAGCAATTCGTAGGTGCTATGCAGCAATTGTTGTAAGGATCGGGCTCGACTTCAGTTTATGGAAGGTGAATTAGCTAGAGTGTGCTCCTACTGCATCGAGATACTTAACAAGGGTAAGACACAACATTTAAGTTGCTGCAGGCAATCACATATAACTGATTAGTAACAGGAGCGATTAATCGCACGGCGCGAGCTGACAACCTGGACCTACGTCAATAAAAATTTATGTACAGGGTCCACCAGCTGTATTGGGATTACCAAGCGAATAAATTTCGTGCTCGATTTACGAAGCCCCATTGACTAGCTAGGTATGTTCGTTCTAAAAAGTCTGTTTGCAACTTCTGCATGTCTTTGAGTCGATTCCCAAATTTGCAATCTATACATGTCTATGTCACACAAAGACGTCCTAGTTGCATGGTTTAGATTAATATAGCTCTAACTCGTTAAGAAACTCTTACCCGCTTTTTTCTTAGTTCTAAACTAAAACCTCACATTGCTTCACAACTATTTTATGGCGTGATGTACTTGTAGTAAAGACCAGTTTATCATAGGCCCTAGTTAAGCACGAAGTTGTCAAAGTTTTTTGATATGATATCGGTCTCACTGGTGATACGTCCAAAGACTAGATAAAATTACTATATAAGGAACAGCTACACGTAGGGGACTAAATCCGGGTTTCATGTAAACGAAAGCAGCTTTACCGCAACCAGGGTTTTGATACTTCCAGAGCCACAGTATTGAATGAATGATATTTTAGTGATAATTAGCATGCGGAGAAATAGCCGCGACATCTCCTTTAGCAAACGGGTAGCACATGCCCTAAACTAGATCAAATCGATACACCGCCTGGAATTCTGTACACTTATCTGTTTCCTACTTTAGCTTTATCTTAGTAAGTTTGTGCTTTTACCAAGTATAAAATTAGTTTCTGCGTTGATTTCGTCACTTGTTATTGCATGCAGTTGTCTCAGTAAAGCCTTTAGCCTGCGATCCCCTGGTGTTCGTGCTAAGAAATAAATACATCGTTTTTGTCGTTGTATATCTTGTTTTGAATCCAGATGTTTTTTATGCACATTTGGTCTTCATTCTAAATTTCTTTGATAATTCAGGAAGCTTTTTGTAGCCTTTGAACGAATTTTCCGTTGTCTTAATTTAATTAATGGGTAAAAGAAGCAGCGTTTTACGTCACTAACAATTTAATACTTAGCTTATCTATACGCAAGCGCAAAGCCGCTTCATTTTTGATCTGACACGGCCGGGTCTTTCACTTTCCTAGTTATATTTTTATTGATATTACGTATACAGAGGGATGAAATTGGGACGTCCGCATGACATACACAACCCCACTTGATACAAGTATATGATTTATCGTTTGTCGTTTCCTAATTGGGAATTATGTTTATGTTTACCCGCTTGTGCACACTGATTCTCCGCGAGCCCTGTGGGAGTCTTGAATATGGCCAGTATGAATCGTATGTACTGCTAGTTTTCCATCGTCGAACCTGATAGCTTCTTCACAAAATGGTATGTCTCTAGTTGTAGCAACAGATTCGAATGGTGATATCGATTTAAGTTTTTTCATATGGCCATGAAGGCGACAATAAGAGTCAACCACAGTGCTACGGGAATTTGAATTTGTGTGTGGTGGTACATGCCGCTGTATAACGCGGCTCAAACGAGGATGGGCAATCCGAGAGTGCTATCGTGGCATCGTGTATTATGCCCTTGGCCACGTATTCGTTCAAATATTTACCTTTTCGGCGAACGCGCATTGTAACTATTAGCCGATGGGATGAAATGGTGGCGTACGTGGGGCGCTTTAGGTGCGGCTCAAACAGAAACAAGATTATGACTCTGTACAACCTAAAGGACTACAGCGAGAACAGGCCAAATGCCAACCTTACGAAAATGATTATAGGTTATCTAGAAAAAAGAATAAAAAGCCATCATTGTGAATAGTGCAGTTACTTGATTAACGTCAATTAGAATCGCAAGTATGGTTTCGAGTTTTTTTCGTTTTCGTAACACATCAGGCCAAATGTAGGAAATCAATATACTCGTGAACAGAGAAGCAGTGGGGAAAGTGCACAATAGAGGCTGAAGGAGTGGGCCTTCACGTTACATGATTTCGTTTGATGCTTGACAAGATGTACGTTGAAAGAGTGCTTGAAAATATTTCGACAAGGCACACATTAAGTATGGGCCTTCGATAACAGTATTCCAACATTCTGATAATTCATGCCGCAAATTAGTATTGATTACATACGTTTATGTGGTTCCAATTAAAACGGATATGTACATCACAAGTTTAGCTCAGATACACCTAACTGAAGTATGAATGAACGGGATGTTCGCAGACTCTTCGCATGTTTCAGTTATGAAAACCGTTGTCAATTTAGTCGTGTTTCACAAGACGGTTTTATTGGTGTTAGGTGGCTGAATGGGATTTGTATTTTTGATCGATAGGAATAGGTACATCAATTTAACGCACTGAGCGGTTGAGGCTGGTTCGTTGATTATTATCTTGTTTGCTTGTTGTAAGAGATGCGTGGCACGATTTCGAACTATGCAAGTTACAACTATGCTATTCGGATTAATCGGCAGACCTGTTTTTCGATCACTTTTAGATTCACATTTTTAAGGCTAATCGACTTTGGTTGGCTATATCCTGAAATTTCATCAACGCGAAACAGCTACAAAGACTAGAACGTGGAGAGACCCTTAAGTCATATGCTTTCGCAATGTGTCTAACAAATTAATCTGATGTTTGTTGCTGTGCCTCCGGCTGTCGGACTTCGACACCCACATCTGGCCTCGATTACTCGTACTATACTACTCATGAAAACGCCTGACTTTCCATCTGGTCCATAAATCTACAATTATCTACAATATCGATATTACGCGGCATTTGGGGCAACTCTCGAAAAAAAATGTTTGCTGGCTGCAACCCATTTTCCTGGATGTGGACTATAATCGAAAATTTTGTATTTCAATTGGGGTTTGGGGATCCTGTACTATGTCTACGTGGTAACATATAGTAGAGCGTTGGTCTTCGCCATCGTTTCGGCCTGACCCTTCGAATCCTCTGGAGTATTGCTCGACAGTCAGTCCTTTAGCACAAATGTCTTCCACAGCTCAACTTCCGCCGCCGACCGTCATGGTACCCGTTGGAGTCCTTAAAAAAGGTACGTCTTTTGATTTCGTGTCCCAACACTCATCTGTGCGCGAAACATAGTATTTATTGCAGCACGCTGATTGTGCGGTACTTTCGTAGTGATCTGTAGGGTACCTGGTAGTTAACTGACGATTTTTTCATTATTTTTTAAAATACCCTGTGATGTCTTTAATACAGATAGGAATCTTTTAAACCTGAAGTTTTTCATATGGCTCATTCTGTAGTATAGAATCAAACAATGAACCGTGCATACTATTATAGTGCGCAAAACGTACAGGGTGGTGATGCAACCCGCGCTTGACCATGTCTGTTTAGGTAATTGTGCTTTGTCGTTTGCACATCGTGAAAACGTAGAAATAATACATTACTATTGATCTTGTGTAGGAGGGGTGCTTCAGAAAGTGCGATAATTCCTTTGACAATGATAACCGCTGTCAGTTAGGACCGGAAATAGGTTAAGCACTTCTGAACGCTAGCTTTTTTGACTATTTTTTACGCCGTGCCTGTTAAATATGGCTGATTTCATTACACCTTGCTAGTAGTAGTAGTTGTATATAACACTAAATTTGATTCGGTAATAATATACGGCGTAAAGAGAAAACTATAAAATTCGTTCATCTTTCCTATAATGAAATGTACATTCTTCTTGGTGGAATAATTCGCGAAGTGACCATTTGCATTCGATAACAAGCACAACATTTAGTCATAATGGTCCACAAAGTTCACTGTTTCACAGTGGCATATGTTGCTAACTTCTGAGTGATAGTCTCATGAACAGATATTTGACAAATTTTGGACCATTTTCAAGTTCTGCTTTATATACATACTCTGCTAATATTTGTTCTGTGCTGTCTTTGTGTTGTATCCACGTCGGCTTTTTTGTCATTGTGACGGTCTGTGGCTGACGGCTGAACGTGCTTGCTTTATGGCTAATGCGGCTGGCATCTTGTGGGGCCTTTGTTGACCGTTTGGCAACATCGGCTGCCTCCCACCGATGAATGGGGGAACAATCAAATTAGTCGGAGAAAAATCTGCCGCCTCCGGCAGTGGGCTATCGGGCAGTGTCTCCAGCGCAGGAGGTAGTGGCAGTAAGTCGGTCGTGTTTTCGGACGGTATTCGACCGGGAGGGGATCTTACGGATCTTGACATTCCTTCGACGCCGCCGGCGCAACGCGCACCCCAAAGGACTCTCAAGCAGGTCACAACCCCTGGTAGGTCCAAAGGTAGGTAGACAGGTTACTGTACCCAAAACCAAAATATCTTTTGTCAAAAAAAGAAAAACGAGTAGCAGACAAAGCTGAAATTGTTGTCGCTTGTTTGCATCGACAAAACGACGGGGATAAAGATACACTGGACTCGATATCGACAATCCTATAATAGCACGATCGAGGAAATCGAGGTTAGGTTTCGAATAAGCTTGAAACATTGCGAACCTATTTAATGGTTGGACTTGTTCTTAAAAATTAGCGTTTTTGCTTATCTTAGCGCCTAGATTTACTGTTGTGTGATAAATTAATCGAAGGCGTGAGATGAAACCTGCTATTAATAGAGAAATCAAAGTGAAAAAAATTAAGCTATCTACTATTAACCAGCTAAGTAGGATGCTTAGTGGTAAATTCAGTCCTGCACAGAATTTCATTGAATTTACCTAATGTAAATGGCGTGATCAAGCGTTTCTTGTAATGCATACTTGCCGTGTTGAGTGTAAGAAAAAGACAAAATGCAATTTGGACTAGCTCTTCAGCCAGGCAGCTATGAAGGTTCTGCTTCCGTTTTATTCTTAGCTTTGTTTTAACAAATGAGATCGAAAGATTGACACGGTGCTGGTTATGGTAGGCCATTGACTTGAGATTTTTACGAAGAATTTCGCCTTACTTATCTCATTTAATTTTAGCGCTACAAGCTCGTTTCTTCAGGTAATACGTAAAACACTTTGCGGTAACCTTGCCGTCTCTTTCTTTATTTCGGCTGCTTTTGCTTCGTGCATTTGACAAGATATTTTTGTCCAAGCTTGTCGTGCCAGTTTTCTGATTTTACTGATCCTATATCTATGTAATACTTGATCTCGATTGAAATATATTATTTATTATGTCCCTACATGTGTCGCTCTGATGAATTAGCGCTAAGTAATGAGTCCGAGGTAATGACTGTTGCTGAAACAACACTGAAAATTTTGAATGTCCTAAGCAGACTTTTCCTTTTTTTTGGCAGTTGTCAATTATTGATAACTAAATGGTTTACAAATTTAAATATTTAACAGTGACGAACATTGGTTCGTGACCTTTCCAAATCGTCATGCTTAAATTGTCATTACCAAATTTACGAAAAGTATGTTCATATAAGGTTATAGAATATACAGGGTTAACAAACATAAAATCCATTGTGCATTGTAAAATATTTAATCTTGTTTCCCATTCAAGTGTGTATTAACGAAGTTCCAAGGCGCAGAAACTACTAAGAACAATGTGTAGAGTTGTGGCGATTAAAACGATGAACTTATTCAAGTTCATCAATGTGTGTAAACTTTACATCAAATGATTTGTGATATTTGAATCGATGCCGTTTGCGTTCAGGGGAATTGTTATTACTTAGGATCGTCATTTACATTTGGTTTCACTGGCGTGTCCTTCGTCGTTCACAGGGAGCGTACCGCGCAAATTTCGTGCATATACGGCATCGGATTCTCTGGGCTCCTTACCAAATGTCCTACTCTCGAAGGAGTTTACCTCATACGAACAGCCTATGACCGTCGGGACACTGTTCAACCTACTGCAAGGTACACATTACGAATCTTTTAATGTTTTTATCATTTGATTCTGAATTTAGCAAAAACTTATATTTCCATTTCATACGCTTATTGGATTACGGTGCGTAAAATCAAAAGCAAAGATGACTAACAGTAAACCACTTCTATATGTTCCCATGATCATAGAATGATAACATATTTGCCTACTAAGCTTAGGGACATGTGCTGGCTTAAGTTGGAATTTAAGCAAGAACACGTATATGTTATATTGTGCTAGGAGTCAGGGCTTAAATATTTCGAAGTATTTTTACCTGGAAGTCTGTTTAACTTTACATAAAGAAAATAACTGTTAAATAACGTAGACTTGAGTATGCCCCCACCTTGTAAGTATCAGACTAAATGGTGTATATCGCCTGGAAGCTTATTGTTGTTTGTGACAATGTGCCCTGGTATTGACTTTTTACGTATTCTCGCATAATTAGATTCTTCACTGCCTCCGGTGGCTTTTGGTCTAACCCGGCACAACATACAAGTGATGGCCAAAGTCGTAGATCTGGAGTGCTGCGTTGGGATTCGTGTTTGGTCGTTTTGCTCCCAAGGCCTAGCGGCATTTGGACAGGATGAGGTCGCCCTTGTACTCCAATGGCACCAGGACGATGAGCTCGCCATACCGAGAGACGTCTTCAAGCTTTATCGTGTCCTATTTGAGAACGCGGGAAAAGGTGTGTACAGGTTATTTCTAAAGAGTTCCAAAAAAATATTCAAACCGAAACTTACTACCCGCAAAAACATAGCTATTGGAGCAGTTTTTGTTTTAAATAGAGTGTAGTTATTTCTGGAAATACTCTTTGCGTTCAATTCTTCAATATAAATTACAGCTTGTTGTTGAATAATGCCGTTTTATCCCTTTTTTTTTAATTAGAAACATAAAGAAATTTCTTTTCAGGAGTTGTCACTTAAAATTATGTCCTTTTTATAATTGTGTGACCAAATGGATTGTTTTCGACGATTAAGATCCACAGCATTAAGCTAATTTGACGACCCTTACAGGCTTAACGAGCGAGAGACTTCTCATGGTTGACATCCGGCTACTGACATCGTTCTTGTTGTGAGAATACCGTGTTTTCATTGAGACATAATTTCCTCGTGTTTTATCCAAATTCGCTATTGTACTTACAGCTGCCGTTGTATCGGCTATGGACCATCTGCTATTTCCTGGCGGCTTACTTGGCTCAAGCGAGCATACCGGTTTCCTATTCGTAAGACGGACTCTACAATGCTCCGAGCGACTAGTAACGCCCAATCCGCTTCGGGAGAGCACCTATTTAGTTGCGTTGCTTGTTCTTAAGACTGAGGTTCCGTGGGCAAAACTGTTTCCGTTACGACTATTACTTCGGCTAGGCGCCGAATTTCGATGTGAGTTGCTATATTACGTTACATGACAGACCTAAAAGACCTATTTGTAATGGGAAAAGGGAAATCATTGCACGTGGATTTGGCTCTTAAACAACGACGTTACAACACGGGTCATATACGGTAGGAGAGTCTGGGGTTTTGTCGAAAACCAAAAATGCATTTAAAGACATTAACTCTAGGCAAAAAACAATTATAGGTAGCAGGACCCTTTGTACAACGATATTTTGTCAATTATGTTTGTTTACAGATTATCCCTGTCCGCTAGTAAGCGTCCGCTTCCGTAAACCGGTGTACTTTTTAGAGCATCAGTCAATACTCACTATACTAGCAGTAAGTACATGTAACGTTATCAATAAAATGCAAAAAACAAATGCTGTGAATTATCCGATTTTTCAACTTACTTATGTAAAAATACTACTTTAGCTTTAACCAGTGTTAACCAGTAAGTTCTTTGGTAATATTATGTTTGATTTTAAAGTAAATTAGCATTCCTTATGGCCGATCCAACGTTAAGCATGCATGTAAACGATTTCCAGGACTTCACGAATTACCAGTACACAATTCAAAATATCCCTGGCCTAGTGATCCATACTGTTGGAAAGAAGACGACCATCCTTGCGCCTAGAAATCGTTATGAACTGGTTAGTATTCACTTACCTGTTCCCCAAGAGTTAATGAAGAGCTAATGAAAAAGAGACTTTTGATCTAAATATTGCTAATACGTTTGCAGTGATTAAATTAAATGAATAAAGTGAACCTGGTTTAAAATTGTACCGTGAGAAGCCTGAAAGTCCACCAAGTTTACTATGCGTAGAATTACAGCAATTTATGGAGAAAGAAGTTTTTATTGGCATTATCGGCACAATGGGCGTTATATATATATATATATATATATATATATATATATATATGAAAATGATATATAAATATCATTTTCAAAGTTGTAAGATCGAAAAGTACTTCGCATGTCAACATTGGCACGGCCTGTAGTACAACCGTCGTTCTAGAAACGAATAACGTCTGTCTGTATTGTTCGTACCCTAACAGATGATGAAAGCCAGCACAACAAACGAAAACATTCTGGCGCTAGGGGCGAACTTCTCGTTAAAGGCTGACTCGCATCTCGTGTGCACTCAGTCGGACGATGGCTCCTTCCAGTCTCAGACATTCAATTCCGCTTCTACTCAGGTACCCGTAAATGAGACAACCACTTTACAGACGCTGACGGCTGCGTTGCTTGAAAGGTGTTGAAAGATCTATTATCACAATAACTTATATAACACGAGCAACGTAGTACATATGTGGTTGATATATTGTGTTCTTTTATGAACCTTTCCTTGCTGATATGGTTTTTTAGATAAGTGTAAGAGGCGCAAGCTTTGTGGTCTTCAGTGGAGCGCTGAAGTCCAATTCGGGTTTCACGGCGAGGGGTTCCGTTGTCGAAGACGGCTTGCTCGTCCAGGTCAGTCCCATCGATATGAGTCAGTTAAAGCAGGCCATTCACGATATGCGTGACTACCGGATCATCTGCAAACAGACACTGCCCTCCAATTTTTCAGGCTCCAAAAAAGTAATTATACAGTAACCCCATGGTTCATCAAAAAACGTTCATTTGTAATGTATATATTTGTACGTTTTTCAGGTATTTATCTGGAAAGCATAATTAATATAATTTATGATATAATATAGTTGAAAACAGTTCGACTTTTCCGTTTTTTTGTTAATCCGTCAATGATGACTATGTACGCAGTTAATTAACATATTTGATATAGAACACAACTCCTTGGCAAAGAAAAAAGGTTTCATCTATTCTCACGTCTGGCAACTAACTCGATGGGTACTCTACCTAGATTTTTTCTTAAAAGACCTGTGAAGTGGCATTGTAGGAATAGACTATAATAACATAACAAACTGCCAACGCGGGATGGTACTAATTCAAAAATGCGCATCACGTTGCCTTCTACCCCTTGTATATAACGATCTTGACCTGATAAAGGTAACGACCGGAGGTGACAGTGCCGCCTCTCCAGCGGAGGTCGGGGATTCGAACGCTGTTAGTCAAGAGGAAGAGGGAGAAGAAGAATATGTAGAACTTGTTTGGGCAGCCAATGAGTCCACTCGTAATGAAGGGGCGACCAGCGCTCTCGACGGCGCCTCATTGGCTGGCGTGCCTTCGTGCAGAATGTTCTCTGGAACTGATTTTTCTAATGACCGCTTTATCGTTCGATGGACCGAAGTTTTTTTCCTCGCTAGCAAGGATACCGAGTAAGTAATGGAAAGTTATTTGAATGGGCAAAGTACAGGAGGCCTTTTACTAAGGTTAGCCTCGTTTAAAGCGGGCATGGACATCTTAGGCTCATAGTTAGGCATATAATTTGAACGCTCCTAGCAAAACTAGTTCATTCCTTTTGGCCCATTAAGTGGACCTGTCATTCGTCCATGGTTTGGTAATTGTGCGTGTAATTCAATGGCTAATTTTAATACGCCTATCTTATCACCAAGACGAAGTGCCAATCCGGTAGATAGATTGCGCGTTTACTTAACAACCTGACTTCTTAGTTAAACATCATACAGTAGGGTCGGTGAATTGAATTAGTCGTGCTGTGGTAATTATTATAGTTGATATCCTGTGGTGGGGTACAAGCCAAAGGTAGAACCTCAAGGGTCGATATTTTCCCAATGAGCAGGAAATATCAGTATACTATGCTATAGGCAAAATAATAATATTACGAAATTAAATCAATTACAGGCTGGATTTGCCCGATCCAAATCGTCTGATCGACGCAACAGGCCGTTCTATGTGTATTGCTCTGCTCCCGCACGCAGCTAAGCTGTACGAAATGGACTTGACTAAACTTGCTCTTAGGTAAAACATCAACAGCGGTCGGCCAAGATGATATACACATTGTTAGATCCAAATGTTACGGCCTGCGTTTAGCGGTGTTGTGTATATAAAAACGCTTTACGGTAGTAGTTAGTAATTTTGTAGGCGAATGTTGACGCTAGGCCTAACACTACAATAAAACGTAGTATTCTTAGTGGAATCAATCAAAGTGGATCTTGCTAAGAATTGCTTAGCTTCTATTTTTCTTGTTGAATTCTATTTTTTTTTTTTTGCACATTTCAGTTGTTTCATTATAATTTTCTGTTTGCAGAATCAGCTTAGACCCGGAGCAGTTTGGTTACGAAATCGGCGCAGGAGGTGCTGCTTTGGCGCCCGAGTTTTTGGGTGAAGTAGATAATGCCCTCGTACCAATAATAACATCTCTGGACGGCTCACATCAGCCGATGACCATTGAGCTTATCTTCTACGTTCTACTCAAGTAAACTCAAATAGTTCAACAATGGCATAATTCTGCTGTACGTATACTCGCTTAACCAAAGATGCTACTAGAACATGTACAAGGCATAAAAAGCATTGCACTCTGACGAAAACAGGTTTGGCAAATATGCGTTTGTAGCAAACAGCCATCCGCCATTTTTTGTCCTTCATACGTAAAACTCTGCGGCACAGCGTAACTCTTTCGTGCTTTTCGCTGCAGGACGCGGATACGCTTAAGCGGTACGTTTAGGATTGACTAGTTGTGCTCAATGGAGGACGCTCCGTTGAGCTGGTCATGGCCAGGACACGAAATCGATGTACGGAGATAATGTAGAAGATCCTACTGAACTACGGTTAAGCTTTTCTGTTGACTATCTCTAGACTCTGATAGGAAGGGTCAACGTGCCGTGAGTTTAACTTTCTCCATGCGGACACAGTGGCGACTTAACTCTCACGAGATACGAGTACGAACTAACGACAGACGGGTAACCTTCTTGTAATAACTATTGCTTGCTGGAGTAGCACCCGAAGGTTTGAACGGACTTGGTGATATCAAGTCGAGATTTCATAATCGTTTATGGATCGTCGTTCAAGAAACAATGAACATCAATCACTTGGCTCTTCCGAGATCGCTTCGGTCGAGCCATATTGCTTGGGTGTGCATCAGTGAGTCAAGCACATGTAACAAGGTAGCAGCATAATGTGCTAAGGGTCAGAATGAACTTAATTCATGCATGAAATGCGGGACGAGATAATCCTCGTCGCAGATAGGGTCAGTTACCGCGGGTGGGCATAAGTCGTTTGTAGCTTTAGTTGGTACATACCGTTGATTCCTTGTTGTCTTTTCCCCAGAAACACGTTTAGATTTGGTGCGTGTAAATAGATGTAATACCTACGTACAAAGCATGTATGTACTGTTCTCGGTCACTGAGTTGCTCCTTCATTGTCGGTGATGCGTGCATTTTGTTGACGCGAACACACCTGGTTCGCAAGATTCCTCATTCATATTCGTTAATCATTACTACTGTTACCTGTTGTATCTGATTGCACGACTGGTTTCTTTAAAAATTCTTCTATTCTAATACATAATACAAGCAACTATATTATTATGGGAGTGAAGAGAGAAACAGACTACAAGGTAGAGAATGAAAGTGATATACGCACCGAAATCCTAAAAAGATACTGCTCGCAGAAGACCACACTCAAACCGCGTAACGCTTCCATCTAAATTCACCTATAAATTCAATGGGTTGCCGTTTTTCTAAATCACTTTGTTAGAATAGTAATTCGTACGAAAATAACAAATGCGATAATATAGATTAGAAAATACATCACTGTCCAGTGTGCACCAAGTCACGAACGTCGATGTACATTGAATGCTTATTTGTAACAGCAGCGAATATTATTATGTTTACGCAAGCAGTCACACCAACACACCTACACAGTAAAATATATATACAATTAAATGATATATATATATATATATATATATATATATATATATATATATTATACGTATATACATTTGAATGCAAAGGAGATAGCCGATCGCAAAGGGAGTCAAATAGTCACGCAATAATGTCGCGGATTGGTCTTAGTGTCTCTAGTCAGCTTGGACGAAAAAAAGCGTAAGAATAAGCCCAACATATTGCGCTGGTATATATATATATATAATGTTGTAGAATGATGAATATATACTGTTGCACAAAATCCGCACGTACGTGAAGTCTGATACGGCCTTGCTTGACATAAACTGAAGTGACACCGAGCAACAACAGATTAAACAACCCTGTTATTAAACCATATTTTTTATATTATGTATCAAATGAAAAAGTGGCGATGCGTTATTGACGAGGAAAATGATAACAAATTCACATCGTGAATATAGACTACCCCACGAAAGCCACAACATGAAGAGGACCGCTGGGATTACGATCACGATTTGGGGAAAATAAATGTTGAAAGGGCGTTTTTGCTGTACGAACTGTTATTACAACATGAACGCTGATCAATAAAAATCAAATTCATTCTAGTAACAACATTAATAATGAGAGAGATCTTTGAACGAACACTGAGATACTCCTGGTAAGGTCCAACTGGATTTATTTTGGGCTTATCGAAACTAATTCTAAATCAAAGTCTTCAGGAAGTCTAATGAATAGCTTTCTTTATTGAAAATGAAATGTACCGCCTAGTGCAGTAATAATATCTTAACGTTGATTTTTTTTAAAGTAAGCGCCGATACCCCTCGCCCTTACGAATATGTCCGACTCCTCCCAAGTATGCACGATATCTAGTTAAGTAGATTTAGAACTCAGCCATGTGAAAGGTTTTCGTGAAACTGCAAACGTAGGTCACCATTTTCGCCGCTTAACTTCCTTCTCTTTTTATCCTGAACTCCTCTTAATTTAAGCATATCTACTGTTCATATCGAGGGCGAAACTTGAACCGGCAATGTTTGACACTTTTAGCTTACTTAAAGTACAGACAGCTGCAGCGATAATTGACATTAGCATTAAGATAGGGGAGAAAGGAATGGTCATTAGTGATCAACTGAAAATGCCGAAGAAAGCAATTGCTTAATCAAAAAGACAAGTTTTTTTGCGATAGACAAGTTTTTTGCGATATCAGAAAGACACGTCTATCAACCGGAAAAATTGAGATGGAACTGTCGCTCGTAGTTCGTTTTTTTCATCATATTCAATAGTACTAACTATCCATACCTAAAATTTTAGCTTTTCAATGAAAGAGCACTATATCAGCTAAGTAGAACTCGTCGGGCGGACATTATGACACGAAGAGAATAACAAAAAATTAATAATGATATATCCCGACCTACTTCGATACCCAGACACAGCGTTTTCATATTTCTTGTGCAAATTTTGTATATGGATACGCTAAATAGACTTTAGAAAATAGGATTTATTTATGGAGTACGGTTCGATTAATTCGACAGATACTACATGTCTCTACACAAGATATCGTGCATGTGTTTTGAATACTAAATGGCGTCGAGTGCTGCAACGCCGTCGTTAAGCAATCTCTCCAACCAGGTACATCGATACCAAAATTATCAATAGATCATTTTTAAAATTCTATGCTCGTCCAATATAACTATTTTTCTTCTGAACACAAATAAAATATCGATCTTTTTCGTTTGGGCGCGGTATCTGCCTTAACACATTCCCGTTTGGAAGGGAAATAAGCCTTAAGAACGACGAAAGCTTGGTTTAGCCTTTGCATACCTCTTCGTTGTGTTGGCTGTTGAGTTCTGTCCTTTTGGTGCTGCCTTGCCATTTTTTCTATGAAAAACTACTGAACACAGCTACCCGAGACCCTATGTGGACGGCTCAGCGCGACGGCATATTCCTTAAGCCCTCCTGGAACACTCAAAAATTGTTCGATATCGCAAGTAGCTAGGCTATAAAAAGCCAGAAAAGAAGCCGCTTCGGATCATCTCCTGCGTTCTTTAAAGGAGAGCTGGCTCCCCGGACAAAAATAGGCCACTGAGCCGAAGACTCGGCTAAGCCTACGTTGAATCTACGGATACCAGATAACCACATCGGCACAATAGGAACACATACGATGGACGCTGACAGCGAATGGCTAGCAAAAAAGCAAGCCTTTTCATGTTTGCTTCTGTCGATTGCGGAGGCAGTCGGTAACACAGTCAGTGCCATACGCGAGTTTTCCCATTGAGCCGAGCAAGCTAAACATGATCAAAACATACAAACTGACAGTTAAGCTGGCTCAACATCGGTGATTCGCGCCTGGTCATCGCAGTGCAGCATTCGGCCCACCACCTGTCCCGGACTTTTAGTCAATTTTGGTAGTGGCACGCGCCGTCTGCGGATTGCATACTTGTGTACATGAAATCTGCGGAGGGGCTTGGTTTGTTCACGAAATTCTTAGCTAGCGTTTCGAAGCGAGCGTAGTTCGGTTGACTGAAATCGTGATATCGCGAGAAACCAAGAGTTAAAAATTTTGCTTCAGAATCCATAGCGACATGTAATCGTCTACATTTTATCTATTTAACTTTTTTATGTGATTGTTGTGGTGTACAAGTTATTTAATTACACAAGTTAACAGATTGCTGCTCATGAGCTGGTGGATTATGAAACCTGGCGGACCTTCAGAAGATAGGATCACAATACTGATCCACGGCAATAGAAAGCAATTGATCTTGTAAATATATCATTCTATTTTAGTTTCTGCTAACAAATCGTTGCGAAGTTTCGTCTACAAACAGAAATATTAATCAAAACGCCACAGTACTATTTGGTTCAACAACAACAATTTTAGTTCTAGCTTCGGATTTTTGTTCGATTATATATACTTGATTTGCTCATCATTAAGCAAAAAACAACTGTTACACTGTGTATTAAAAATAAAAAAAAATACTGTAAAAAATAAATTGGAAAAGCAATTTTAGTCAATAGGAGGTACCATATGATATGAGGCTATGCATTCCCATAGGGAATTAAGTGTACTGAGATAAAATACGCAGTGGAAAAGATAATCTATGGATGTATTGTTTAACGCTTTTCCCTGCTATATAAGTTCTGATAAACAAGAATTAGGGTACTTATTTTTCGAAATAGTTCGATTTATCTGTTCAAAAAACCTAAATTTGCTGAGTCTTCACTAGATGCGTAGTAGATGCATAGTAGGCGAAGTATTTTTGCATTATTGTTGTAACACTGCTGACTTCTGAGAAGGGCCACATTAACAAAATCCAATCAACAACAGGGCGAATTCACATGCTTGGACTGTAAATCAGATTATTACACGGCGTGTTAATTTACCAACGTACCAAATACAAACAACACATATGCATGTAACAACGATTGCATTCCGCCGACGCAGTGTTTATTGATTATTTATTACGCAAAAAATAACATTGTTGTGTTCTATCCTCAAAGGAATTATTCGTGTCTCATTCCATGTGGTTTATTACTTCACGTTTCGTTTTGCTCATCGTCTCATTGCTTTGCTTCTATGCGGTCTAATGTTCTGTCATTTTCATGACATTTTCACATACTTTTTTCCCATTATTTCATAATTTTTACAACGTTCACCACGCGGCACTGGTACACATGAGTTAGGCTTGACAACAATAACACCGTCGTGCCGTTTCAACGAAACCTCGACAATCTAGCAAACGCCTCAGCATAGCACCAGCTTCTCTCAGCGGCACTCGTGCCCGTGGCCAGAGTCCTGTGATTCCACAGGAAGGTTTCAATCACTACCGTGCTTTGTTGTTGTTTTCCACTCATTCATTTTGCTGTTGTATACTTATCATATCTTGCGCATCCGCCCGTTAATGGATCCGCGTATCGGGGTATTGACTGTGTTACTGTGTCAATAGAGCGTAAGCTTAGGATTTATCGAGTACGGTTAATTATCGAAAACAACGTATCCTCGTATGGTATCACCAAGCGTTGTATTGACATCATCATACACTATTTTATTAATACAAAATGCAGGCAATCATTATAATGAAAATAATAGTGTCTTTGCCGCCTTTCAAATAGAGGGGTGAGCTAACTCCAAATTCGATAAACTCGTCTGCACACTTCGGAATACAAACGAGTATAGGTGCTATGAGAATTGTTCAGTATCGATGCATATTATGTGGAGAAATGATCAAAAGACTATTAATGAGAACAAACGCACCTTGCTACATAGCAAAACTGTAACAATTGGAATAATAACAACAATAGTTGAAAGAATGCGTCGTTAATTAACCAGACTTCAATGCAATGTTCAGCTATCCATAAACAAGGTGGACTGTCTAATTACCGCAGTAATGCCGAAATGATGTAATTCAAAACTTGGATACAAATTTGCTTGTCAAAATGAGAGGGGAAATTTTGACCAAAAATATTTTTTTCTTAATGATATTGTCAATGTTGATTGAATATAGATGCATCCGTATTTTATATATGAAAAGTCTCGTTTTATCATATTCTACAACCTACTCTTTTTTTTTATAATAATCCACAAAGTCTTTAATATAATAGACATTGGCGAAATACAATACTTGTAGTGGCTCTTGCTGCGTATTTGAGCAAAATCACATACGTCAAAGTCACGCTTTTCCCTCGCATGTCCTTATTGATGCATCAGGTAAACCTTCCTATTGGTACGGCAACATTGTTGTTAAGCTTGTTGCCGTTGGTATTATTGCTGATAGCAGGCCTGACCCGCTTTTCCGATGGCGCAATCTCATTTCAGTTCCATAATCCTTACTGCCAATGCTGAATGTACTGGACTTGGTTAGCTAAACCGGCGTAGCTCGTCTCAGCAAGACTTAAGATCCTCGCATTTCGCATTCGTCGCAGCATACCTATATTTATCTTTGTCTCTAATGAAGTCCTTTACTGTTGCTTGCACTCCTGCTGTTGGGCTGCAGCCTTACGCAAGGCTTTCTTCGAAGGCCTGAAATCGGGGTCGGCCTCTGGGTCTAGAAGAAAAAAATCATGAGTTGGTACGTTGTGGGAGATTATTGGGAAAGTTGAGCTTGCTGTGAGTTGGAAACGGTGGCATTCACAAAGTCTATGTGACATCGAATGATTTTTGCTTTTCTCAGCCTTCATCTCATTTTTGTACACGAAAGTTTGCTTTGCTGTGAAAATCGATAAGAGTAGATTGGAAAAATCAAAACAAATTTGAGTGCACTAATAGAAAAAAGCCAGAAAAAAAGAGCTACTAAGGGGTCACTACTGTACTTAAGCCGTAAAATGGACCAACATGATTGGTCAACTTCGTATCCCACCACCTTTCCTACTAATTAGACCCTTCCACAAACAGGAGAACTACACGACTTCAGATGATTTGAAGCACCAAAATGTCGAGTAACGAGAGTCAAACTGAGAGCGAGAGAGTTACGAAGAGAGCGCATTAACAATAGAGCGAATATCATTTATGAAGTGCTGAGATCAGTAAGGCGTTGTCAGGTTAGACAGTATATATATATATATATATATATATATTGGGTATTTAGTAACATACACGTAGAAACCTGACTGCTCAGCATATTGAGTAATAAAGCATGATGTAACCTGTAGCAGGCGAAAAGATAGTATGATCTTCTAAAGATCTAGAGAAATTAATCTTGCTGCAGTAGATAATTGCACGATAAATTTGTTGTGTAGATACGTTGTTTAACTCTTTGTAGTGTCTGCAAAACTTCTGTGCGGACACTACAAGGCCCTCTATATCTTGAAGGCAAAACTTAAGATTCAACGCGTTCTTCATTGAATTAAATTAGCTTATACGCCACCCTATTTACTGCGCTTATAATTCGCACCACTATTGCATATACCATTAAATCGAAGAATAATGTGTATTCATTAATCGATTCTAAGTAGAGTTAACTAATCTTACAACAGTCGTTACTAACATACCTAACCTAATCCTGGTAACCACGAACTATAAAAAGCTGGTAAAATAAAGGGAAGGCTAATTTCATGCAGGGAAATCGCGTGCAATGAACAAAAAGTGATAAGCTGTGAGTCAATAATTATGCTGTAAGATCACAGAAGTAAGAACGCATCTTAGCAAATATAATCTCACATATTTTATTAAATAACCATAATATTAAGCCATATATATATATATATATATATATATATATATATATTTATATATATGTATTTATATATATATATATATATACACATTATATATAAAGATTTATAAGTTGGCTCTCTTCCTGACGAGTTGAATCAGCAATCGCTCATTCTCAAAGGATGTATACGGTTTGTTTGTATGACCTTTTCCTATATTGTTATCACCGCAATAGCACTATTATGATAATCAGCACAGAGAACAGAGTTCTAATGGCGCCAAAGACCGTTGTAAACACGACGGCATGGTCAGGGCCGCTCGTATGAAGCAGCGTTGGTGATATCAATGTCGTTTTAGATTGATAGTACGGACTCTGATTGTTTTCCGTTCATTTTCAGCGCACTTTACATCGCATTGTCTCTTGACGGCTCTTGACGAGCATAAATGGGAAAAGCCATAGTATATATATATATATTACTGTCATTAATACATGACTTGATTCATGCAGTGTATGTAACTGAACATCAATATTGAAGAGAAATCTATATCTAGGAGAAAATACATCAGAAAACCAAACGATAACACCAAACGATACCAGCTTAATAGGAAAGAAAGGGCAGCAACACAGACTAAACTATTATATGTAGATAACGAGACAAACAATTACTAATTATATATATTCATGTACTTAACTGTATCAACCTACATGTAATAGGTAATGTCGTATATTTATGCGTCGAAATACGTAAATATGTTCATAAATATACTGAATCGTATTCGTCTAATAGTGTGGTGTATAACTTCGCTCTTAATTTTTTTGTGAACACTCATTCTTAGTCTAAAATATAGTCTGTCAAGAACATGTTGATAATTACCAGTTTATGAGCTGTTGAGATGGAGAATTTGTCGAACTTTCTTTCATTATATGTCTTCAAACAAAATTAGAATTAAAAAAATTTGAAAGGCTGATAAATGTTATGATAATTCAAGTTTTTTGCTTTTTTTACGAAAAGGTTGGCCGACTATATTTCGATTCTGTCATATGTCGTATGTCCAAAATGTAAGCACGGTAAAAGTAACATTATTAGGATTTTTGGTCCTCCACCATTATTCTGCTCGGTAGAAGTTTATCTCTGGATTATATCACAAAGGCGACATTCGCGTGCGCTCATTGAAAATAACAACAATGGTAATAGGCATCAAAGAAACAGAGGCAGGAACCTTTGATGCACAGTCATTAGAAGTTCGGAAATAATAAATTACAAACTCGAATGAACAGAATGCGACTCACTCGTCCTCCTCAAAACGAGCCTCAAATATCACTCGGTACCTAGGTTATTCGTATCTAACTGTTTGATTAACGTCACCTACATTCGAAACCGACCTGTCAACAGGCCGGGCCATTCTTTTATAATGAAACTCATACTGAGTAACGATAAACCACAGCGTAATGTAAACGAATTAGTATTTTTTTATCACCAAATATTATATGATAAAACTATGACGACTCGCTTGATTAACGTCATGTTGCTCAAACTCCAGGTTAGATATTATTCCGTTGATTAAGTGTTGTAAATTGATATATTGAATATTGGTTTACGTTTCCCTAAAATTAATCCCATATTTTCTGCCTCTCGCTCTCTCGCTTTCTCTCTCTCTCGCTATTACAAACGTTCCATCACAATTCCACTGGAAACCCGTACAACGTAGTTGAATAATATCTTGTGTGTGGATCATAGGATACGATTTATATATATGTATGTATATATTGCCACCCGTTGCTTGTAGTAATTGTCCTCCCTCCTAATCTTACTGATTGTGATATGTCTGTCTACACACCGGCGTCTTCGTCGACCTCGTCCAATTCCTCATCAATTTCTTCCTCGTCGTATTCGTCGAACTGGGCTAGTTCACCTACAATCATAAAACAAGCAAACTCCGTGTTGACACACGCTGATGATACGTATACTCGATAAACTATAAAGCTTACATTATTGTTTCGAAATCTAACAAGTGCTTGGGAGACCCTGGTAACAAAAACAACAGCAGCCTGCTAGCTACCATTATAAAACAAAACATTATGAATACAAAAAATAGAACTTTTTGATGGACAAATATCAATTGGCTCAAATTATTGCTTAGCTCTTGCAATGGCTAAGGAAATAGAAGTAGCTGTTTGCGCGTTAATTCGTTGGCCTGTCGTTTAAAAGGAACTAAACAATAAAACAAACCCGAAACTCGTCGCCAGACCGCACCTAATATGTTAGTCTTTCTAACTGAACATGAGCCGTTAGCCTATTAGTTATAATTCAGCTGTCAAGTCAATTGTATCTCTTTGGCGGAAGTTTGCGCCGATTAAGGCAATCAAGTTTTGGTCACTGTGATTATCGAACTGTATACTTTAAACAGCTTAAGTCAAACCAGGGTCAACCTTTCGGACTGATCTATCTACGCGATACTTTTGAATTTGGATTGAATGCAATTATTTTACTGGCGCCAATATAGAAGTATAGCGCGTAGGTTAAGCAGTTAAGCCAAAACATTTTAGGTCGTTTTCTCCTACTTCTTTTGGCAAAACAACGTCGAGAGTCTTAAGTGAATAAGACTAAGCAGCTATGTCGCAATCCACTTCAAAACGACCTAAGACTTGTGTCTTAATCTCGAAGAAACGAAACAATGATTGTCACCAGTCAAGTGATACATGACTTAGTAAAATAATATGTGGAATAAGGAGAAAAATTTCAATAATACAAACTGATTGAGCTAAAAAATACACTCTAATTAAGACAAACTATTATATGCTGCTGCTACGCAAGTGTGTGGGATTCACTTCGCCGAAGATGGAAATGCCGCTGACCTGTGAAGTAGAGAACGGCGCGAGGTACCAGGCGCTCACGAAAGAATGATCCGAGAGTGATATCCGCGTGAAAGGTCTCCGCAAGGTCTTCTTCCATGTCTTCGCTATCCTCAATCCACTCTGGATGTGAGAAGAAATTGAAGAACGAGTCCGTTTGCACCGTTTTCGTGACGGTGCGCGTTGTGCCCGTTTTCTTGTTTTTCTGCTTTTTCGAAATCTTTCGTTGTGTAACGTTCTTATCATCACTCTTCCAATCGATTTTCATTCCTTTCATAGCGACAATCTCCGGTCCATCGAAATTGAACGGGTCCTCGTCGGTCGGAGCGAGCTTCAACTTGAACTCTTTCGTCAAAATTGTGTTGCTGAATGGACAAAATAAACGATGAGCAAAGATTAACCAACGTCAAGCGACGACAAAATTCTACACGAACGAATATTTTGAGCCTTGGTAATGATCCACTCAAATTGACCAGCATAATGATGCCTGACATAGCCCAATTCGGTAACTCAGCCGTGGTAGCCCAGCAGATTCTTGCTAAAACTGAACCCCATACAAGGTATGGTAGGGACCCTTCAATTAAAACAAATTTTATGTCACCTAATTCAAATTAATTGAGCGATAGAAAGTACAAATATACTAAGACTGACCTCCGATAGCTGCAGGTTTAGCCAACTATTGTGATGGAAATTTGCCTGCCTACTCCTGTCGCATTTACATTTCAAACATTCCTCTTGCATAAATCTTCGGTAAATAGCAAATTTTATAATTTTTTGACATATTTTTTACCATAGCCCAGACAGCCTTACCCAATATACAATACTAAATGTGGTAGGTTATTTTTCGCTAATCTAAGGAACTGCACAGACGGTCCAGTTGAATAGAGTGGAATTGTGTACAAATATACGCACAGGCAGACGTACCCTACGTCAATGTTAGCCGTACCTGAAGTATTCGTTAGGAGAGAAGTGGAAATGCAGCTTGAACGAATCGATATTGTCCTCGACAACGACATCAGTGAGGTGCTCAAGGATGGGCTCATCATCTTCCATCACGAACTCGTGGATACCGTCAGCAACGTTCTTCATGCATGTAAGCCAGAACGACGGGACGCCGGTGACGGACTGTTTTGTGAAACAGCAAGAGGTAGACAAACAAGCGAATAGGTTAGCTGGAGCTAAGACGTATTAATAAATACGCCTTAATTACCAAGAACTGCATCTACCACCTCTCATTGTCCTTACGAAGATACAAGCAACAACTGCGAGTTTAACAGTAGTAAATTGTGCTTGATAACTTTTGCATCAGAGTAATCACGATACAGTAACTGGCAAATAGGCACTTCAATTTCAAAATGTTATTATTATTATACCCGAAGTATGGATTCGAATATTCCAGCGCACTCAAAGATTCTAAATATATGCGAGGCCTTGCTGTGACTTTCAATTAATGCTGGTCAATGCCCCACCCTCATTAATACGTTCGAATTTTCCAAGCCCCTATCGGCCCAACCACGCCATGCGACTCCTGTTTCTGGCGCTTCACTGGAAGAAGTAACTGACTTGCATGAAACTCAAAGGTTTAAGTAGGCTTTGCCTTCTCTATCGACGCGACAGAAAATACGAACAATCGTAGGTGACAAGTTCTAGAGATGTTTTCAGTACAGGCATATCAATAAGGCTTACGGCCTTCGACACGTTGATTCAAGCGAGGAAAGTTAATTGGCTAGCGCGACACCTTTTGCTCAAGTTGTTGTGCTTGAGAAGTTTCAACATCTAATCAGAATTTGATAGATAAGGATATTTTTCTAAACAGAGTGTAGGCGCGCAATAAGACGAACTACTACACATACAGAACATGTTGACAATGCATCTCAACCGGTAAATGTCCTAAAATGCGACGTCTAATATACGGTTGCATCAACAAGGAACGAAAAGCAGTGATTAACGTAAGATTGCCTGCAGAATAAACCTTGTAAATCAAAAAGGAACTAGTTTGCATCGAAATAGTTGTACAGTGCCTATCGGAGTCCAAACGGGGCTATCATTTTGTTAAAAAAGCACAACCATTACAGCAATTGTTGCCAGGCCGTTTTGCACTGTCACGGTAACAGAAGCCAGCCTGCTCCGAAAGTAGCGTAAAGAAACAGTCTCTCTTATCTACATCAAGTTCGGTTAGAGCAATGATCTTAGTTTACGAGTAAACAAGTTTGCTTGCAGTGTTAATCATACACTTATAATTACACTTCAAGTGATGTTTCAATGACTGAGGAATACCAAATATGAATTTTTCAAGCGCAAAGCTTATCCAAAAAACGCAGGATATTACGAGTCTTCAAGTTCACTGCAAGAGATACGCAACATCCATGTTGTCAAACCTAAGCTAAAAAAATCTCCGAAAAGTATATGCAACGGTTCATCATTACGTTTAATAAATCACTTCTGTTCCAGTACGCACGTTTTTGATAGGAAGGGCAATACCGATAATAATGGCTAAATAGGCACTGCATTGCGGACATTTAGTAATACATCGGTAGTACCAGCCAGGTCAGATGAACGGATTATTTGCCCTCCCTGCCCGCGTCCACTCGAATCTGTTTCCATTAAGTGGTCGGCACAATGACTGAAGAATCGTAAAAGTTTCCATTACACAAAATCGTCACAAGGTATCGTTTCGTTTCTCTTTAATCCTACCTGGGTCATTTTAAGATTTTAGTTATCTGAGTAAATTGCCACTAAATATAATACTATTGACATCGGATTACCCCTTCGCAGACTAGATTATCGCAGATTAGTGCAAGTGCATCTAAAGCAAAACTAGGAGACTTGGAGACATGAAGAAAATTGGAGTTTTGTTTCCTTAATTATAAGCGTGCTTAGTATAGCAGCGCAGTTTTACTAGGACTACAAACCTGTAGAGTTGATAGTTTCTGTTGCCATCGCTTAACGACTTCTATACGTTAATATGAAGATGCACAATAAAATGCATGCGTACATGCATCACAAAATACTCGAAATGCATGCATTTTAACGCAGACATTAGGTACTATTTTTGGGATGAGATAACCTATAATTTACAATAAGGCCCATGAAGCTTACGATGAACCCTTCCTTCGACTTTTTTGCAAATGATTTAAGAGTGATTAGGCTCCTAATCGAATTGATGTGCTCCAATATTAATCAGCTCTATTCTTGGGTAGGTCGGCAGTCATGCCGCTTATTGGTGACGTCGTCACATCGGCGTATCAACCCACACAGCAGCCATGTGTGTCCGATATCCCTACGTACTAATAACAGCTGCTGGCAATTGATGCTAGTACTGCCCGTGCAGCGGTTTACTGCGCGATTATGTAATCATTTATCCACTCCCTTACCTTAGACCGACTTCGTTATCGGTAATGCTATTTACTGTCTAGCATGTTACTGTGTGTAGCACAAAGCAACCGAACCACCGATGTTCTCTACTAGCCTTGCGCGATAATACGCCTAATAAGCTACTTATTCTCCATTCCCATTGGTAGGAGCCTGAGACTAACGAATTGATTAAAAATTGACTAATGCATCTCCCAAGTCAACTGGTTGAGACGTGTGCGTGCTCCACGTGGTTATAAACTGCGAACACAAGAATCAGGAAGGTAAGACAGTCATACCAGGCGGCAGGCAGCCGTAACGACCCGGGCGACATATAGCGATCAGTATCGTTGCAAGGAAACAAGCGGAGCTTACAAAAGGGTACGAGCTACTGAATAAGTGAAAAAGGCACTATTTAGAAGATCCGAATTGACGTACTGAATTGATAGGGTCTCACGGGGCACGCAAGTCCTTGCTAGGAACAAGAGCAGCAGCAGCGGCGGTAATAAAAGCAAACTCACCACCGTCGCCACGACCATGACAACATTGCAGCCACTATAAGGAATCGCGCGATGCTGTCCAATGGCGGCCGCCAATCACGGCTGCGCGCTCAATAGCTGCTATTATCGGATAAACACTCGATGTGCCTACATTACGCGTTGCTGCGTGCCTCGTTCAGCAACTAGTAGTATGGCGAAGTATAATATACGACAACAAGCTTTGGACAACATAAAAACGATCGATGAGCACCAGTTAGTAAGACCTTACATGTCGACAGAGGATAAACTAGCGTGCGCGAAACGCGTCTTTTTATGTACTTGCACGTCGCCACCATCCTCGGTGAAAGAACCTATCATCATGCTGACGTGTCGTATTGAGACGCTTCTGGCAAAAATTTTACTATCGGAAGAGTGAGCAAAGTAAAAAGGATTGGCAGATTCGAGTAGATTCGCAGGTCTGATGCAGATTCGAATAGGTCCAAATGATCCGAATTTTATACTTGGTGTTAGTGCCGATAAAAATTGCCTCAGAGGGCTGATTCTTAGGAGCACGAAACCAAGTATACATTTTTCTACGTTTACTAAATGAACATATCACCGCAACATTACAGGAACCGGGGAAGTTGTCTACCCATTAAGTAATTGCCCGTTTCCTTTTTGCATCGTGAAAATAACAAAAATTGAAGAAAAACTGAAAAATTGAAGATATTGCATAGGACATTGAACAGTCACTGGTAACTGCATTCTGAAAAATTCTACAATGTTAAAAACAATAATTCATTAACAATAATTCATACGTATTTGTATATAGACCTGTATATTTGTCTATGTAATGCCACATTCAAGTACGGATCAATCGGGAAGTGCATTATATCCTTAATTATCAGCTATATTGATTGTGCTCTTATCAAATATAATACTTACCGCATCGTCGATGGTTACTTTACTTAGGTCGGCAGCTAACTCCTCATTCGGCTCCTTATACTCGCATTCGCCAGCATCCGGTTCATGTTTGCCCTCGACGATATCGCGCCGTTTGCTCATCAGCTCATCGTATTTGATGTAGAACCTGTGCTCGAGCTCAGCAGCCTCTCGGTAGAATTGCCCGTGCAGCTTGAAGTACTCGACCTGAAGCTTCTTCAACGCCTTGATGCGGAGCTTCACTTGGTTCGGCAGCGAGGCGATATAGTGCGTCGGAGTTCCTATCAACGAGGTGAGCTTGTTGGACATCATTTTCACGAGACCGGGATCGGTCAAGATACGCACCTTCAACGGCGCCAAATCGTCAATCGATCCTAATCAAAATCACATTGCACCAAGCGAGGTGGTGCATAGCACAGTGGAGTGGAACAACAAAAACACCACACAACCACACAACAGGCACATCTCTACAGTCTATGCTCTAATAGCAGCAAGCACACGATAACAGATAACATACCATGGCAGCGGGATTAAGGCAAAAAGCGAAGTGTGCTATGCCAAAAACACTAGAAGACAAAAAACGCTGTGTAAAGCAGTAACACGAAGGAAAACCGGTGGACGGCAAAACAGGGTATATCGGAGTTCTAAATTACATCTCCAAGGTGTTCGACTCTTAAATGCAATGTAGTGTGTTTAGTAATCGCCGATTTTTGCAATAACGACACCTGCATATATATATATATATATATATATATATATATATATATATATATATATATATATGCAAATGTCGTTATATATATCTAAACACGGAACTAATAAATTATCATAATTATTTCTTCCCTTGGAAAAATTTTGTCCCATTCGTCATCTAACGAGTGGTGAAGTGGAGACAATAAACCTTAAAGCAGCAACCTTAAAGCAGACTTATGCCTTTTTCACTAATAACAGCTGGTACGTTTTCACAACGCTCCAGCAAGGCATCCATTCACCGAGAGACCAATTATACGTTATATAAGTATATTATAAAGGGCTAAAGAAAGTTAAAAGAGCGTTGATCCGAAACATGCGTCAAGAACGTTCGACAAGGCCTAGATTTATTTATGCAGTCTTAGTAGAATCAGACGGGTGTGTGTATTAGTACCTTCAAGAAGTGTCTTGGTTCCGCAAAAGAACGCATACACGTCGGGTTGCAGTCTCTAGGATGAAAACTGAACGCGACTACGAGAATTGCTTACTAGAAGCCTAATTAAAGGGTATTAATAATAATAGTAATATTATTATTATAAATCAATAATTTAAGAGCATTATAAAGTGCCGCAGAGTAACGGGTTAGTTTCGCAACGAACTTGCTTTCCAATAATTAGAGAGGAGCAGATAGCGCGTTTCAAATGTGGTAAAAAAACTGAGGCACTAAACTAACTGCAAAGGTGCATATATATATAGACTAGACTTGATAGCCACAATATAGTCGTGAAACAACTTTGATTGGACGCGTTAGGGCGTCTGCGAAGCGAACATTCCACGGGTGCCGCTGCTGTTGTTGCTTAGCGGCAACAGCTCAGAGGCCGTTGAACTCCGAATTGGACAATAAGAAGCCCGCCAGAGATAGACCACATTGCGAACTAACAACGGGTGTTATGCTTATGGCATCTCTTATTAATTGTACAAGAGAAAATTCGCGGCGACAAACTTGCGTTTCAAGATAATTGCATGGTAACGTGAGAAGCGTGCTACGCTGCGAGCAACCGGATGGGTGAGCTTTTCCACAAACACGAGAAGGAAGGACGTACAGCATAGGTACGTGTTGCTGAGCAGTAGGCTAACTACACGTGCATGAAGGCACCGCCCTTCCCGGGAGCACAGGTAGGCAAAGTCGGTTCAAGCCTAGCACCATCGCACAATGAAGGACATGCACACGCGCTCAAGAGGACGTCTAAATTTCGTCACTTTTGTGGCGATTATTCAATCAATGATGAAATCGGATAAACGCGAACGCGTAAAGCAGCCATTCTAACCGTGACACACGTTGATGCTTGATGAATGTGGCGACTTGTTACCACGATACTACGAACTTCGGTCCTAGTAGAGATCGTCTGAGACTCCAAAAAAGGACAAATTTACACGACCAATGATCAAATATCTGACCAATACCTCTACTCGAAATATCGCTTACCATTATCGCCGTCACCATTTTGCTGATCCTGCTTTGATTGCTTCTGGACTTGAAGGGGGGACTGCTGCGCAACTTGGTCTTTCTTGTCGTCACCGGCCATAGCGTCTCGTTTGCGTTCCCGTTCAGTGTTCTTCGTCACAACGTGATCAAGGCTTGTTAGGCTGGGTAAACGTGGTGAGGTTGCAGATTGCTGTTATGGCGTCTGCGCAGAAACCAACAACGAGGGGGACTGGCTAGCAGGCTATCTAAGCACAAGATGTCGAAAAGCTCGTGTAAACCTAGTTCAGACCAACAGCGATATAAACAAATACGGAATCGAACAACTACCAGACCTGATCGTGGCTGTCGTCGATTTCTGACGCCGATATCGTCAAGCCACAACTGCACGAAGGAACGGGTTAACACGAGATGACGGAGCCGTGTGCAGACCCGTGTGAGCAGTCGCAAGCGACAGACAATCCGAACTGACCACGCGAGAAGTACGACACTCTAGCCGGTGGCGCGGTCCACTCTGCTGCAACCGACTGGGAGATTCTATGACACGAGGCCTTGTCTGGCGGCTCGCTGGGTTAGCGGAAGCTGACGGTGTCTGGCTGCGACTGTTTCGGTGTGTCGCTGCTGCCGCCACCGCTGACGCAGCCCGCCATAATAGATACAGAGAGTCGGTTGTGGTCGCAGCGCACCCTTATCTCTGGTTGCTGCCTCTGCTCGAGGATAGGTTGTTTGAACCATGGCGGGATCACACAAGGGCAAAGAAACTTGGGCTGCACTGATGCGTGGTACGATTGTGGGACGAAACAGGCCGTGCAGGGATGAATGTTGTAGATAGGTGCTACATTCACGAGTAACGAAGAATGAGGCACAGCACTCGGGGAAGGGGGAGAGGGAAAAAAGATAAAATTATGTACCAACTGTATACGTATTTGTCTTGGAGTGCAGGCAGTATATGCTAATGGGACAAAGAGCAAGCGTTTGAATAAAAGAAAATATTGCTTCTTTTGTTTCGCTTGCTTTTTTAGCTGTGCAAATATTTGCGTGAAAAATTTGAGTGTCGGCACGGGAATTATCTCAGCTTTCGATGCTGGCGAAGTCTCTATGAACCTGTCGTTATGAAGTTGACCACCGTCTTCATAGGTACCGTACATCGGCAATAGGCTAGCAGGGAGAAACTTTGCTGAGGTCTATGGGATGGTGCTCCCTTGTGTATGAGCGTGTGTGTGCAGGCAATTGAATAACCTCCCATTCTTAAACGTGTAGCTAGGTGCCACTGATGGTACGCTTTTTGGCGCCAAATCCTTTCTAAACTAAATTCGAAATTTATGGTGATACTATTCAACGTCTAACGCTTTACCAAACATAAGCTCAATCAAGAACATGTCTCTTAAACGGAAGTCCATCAACGAAGTACATCTCGGCTCAGTTTTAAAAGGTTGATTGTTTCGAGACAGTGCCGGAATTCGGTTATCGAGCAACCATCGTTTCGAGGTTGTGCCCCGGTTCGCCGGGCGCTGTCACTTTGTGCCGCCCGAGCTGTCTGTTGTTTACACAACTGAAAGGGGTGTTCCTTTCAGCATTCGTCAGTCTAATCCGTTTGTGAATCTGTATGCTACAGCCGAACTTGGCCTCGTATACAGCCGACTGCGGCCTACCCGTCGAGCTAAGCGACTAGGCCATACTGGCTGATCTAACCGAAATTTAGCTGCCCGTTGCTCCTCTCGAACCAATATGATGACCAGCTCAATGTTTTTAATACCTTTTCGAGAATGAAATTGGCAATTTTAAGACTGGTAATAGTATTACCAGTAGTAGCTGCTATTGGCGCTTTGGCAACTGGCAATAATGGAGCGTTCGGAATAAGTTATAACGGCAATGTCTCAGTCGGAGTGTAGCTCGAAAAGGAGAGAGGAGTTTCACGCGGAACAGAACGAACGAAAAATCCGTGCTACCTCACCGTCGTGCTTTGTTGTTGTCTAATGTGCCCTGGCCAATTTTAGGAAGCACTTATACGCACGCACTTTTACCAGCAGCCATGGCGACTATGACTCGATCAATGAACGTCTCCCAACAGAAGTTCGCGGAAAAGTTAACCATCCTTAATGACCGTGGGATAGGAATGCTAACACGAATTTACAACATTAAGAAGGTAAGTTGACAAAAAGGACATCGATTTGATAACGATGATTTGAACATAGAATTATTATTTGTTACCAGAAGCACAGTACCAACTGCGGTAAGCGCTCTGTCCACTGGATGCTGACTGACATTTAGATGAACGTAATACCTCATAGTTGCAGTGTTAGGCGTTGCTTTACTATTTAGCGTAGCGGAACTTGATTAGTGGTGCGTTCTATGTCGTTGGGAGCATCCGGCGGATGATATTAATTTATTTCTGAGGCGTAAAACCGCTTCTGTTTGCCCACAGTGGACTAGTTGATCCAGGAGACGATTATGACCGCTCATATCGCACCCACTATTCGATTATATTTACTTTTTAGGTTATACTGGGCTTCTGGTTAACTAAAAATAAAGGGAAGTTCTACTCAAGCATTTTGTGTTATTGTTTGTTCTATCGAAACTTTAAACTTACATAATTTTATATGTATGAACATGCGAGACTAGTTGCTTCATGTAAACTATCTCTCCAGTCAATGAAAAAACAGGATTTCAATAAATATTATCTGCCAATTAGTTCGAATGTGATTTAATCGCGCCTTCCTGGTTGTGCTATAAATGAGTTATAAAACCGCTATTAGTTATGATTTGAAAATACGCATACTCTTGCACCAACTACTTTGCTGTTTGGAAATTCATAATTAAACTTGTTTAGTAAAAATCAAACTCCATGTATGCGTCTATCATATAGACGTCAACTGGGTGCATGATGTTAAATATTCAAAGCTTGAAAATAAAACTCTCACTTGATGGTATCATTGTATCCGTATATACAAAAGATATCTAAAGAATGTTCAAAAAGGAAAGCCGACGATAAGAATATAATTTGTTTCCAACTAATGATTAGATGAGCGAATTTATCCCTTTAGAACATTTGCCTATAAATCTTCTTGTTTCGGGTTTACATATGCGTAAAGATGCAGTCTATTTATAGCTGATGCAATTTTGCGTAACACACATTGCGTTATATATTGGTAAGTTATTTTTCAAGAAGAGATTATTTTTTTATAATTGGGATGTCTGTGCTTTATTATCTGTTCGTAGATCGTTTGATCTTTGTGTAGTTGCCAGAAACTATATTTTAGTGGTTTTACATTGTGGTTTAAGTTTAATAGTATCGTTCATAAATGTTACAATGATGCATTCGATTTGACAAACAATGTTCAAGAAAATGTTTTTGAGCGCTAGTGGCGTTATTCAGTTTGCATCATTTATAGTAGGTTTTAGTAATAATAATAACTGCAGCCCGAATATATCCAATTTGACAAATGTTTCACGTCCGCTTTTGGTGTAAAGCCTTGCTTTGACCAGCTTCGGCTGGTTCCCAGCATGAGTATATTCAATTTACGACTCCTTCATTCGCTCAAATACTACTACTATCGGTAGTTAAAGACTATATGAGATGTGTAATGACAGAAAGTAAATCGTAATCTATTGAAATTATGATGTGATCAATGTAATGAGTTTTGGAATGGATGAATTGATTTATTTAGGCGTTGGTAGAATGTGCTTTAATATGATACAAGGAACCAATCATTTGACCCCTGAAAAATACCGACTGGCAGTCCTGCCTAGGGTACGTCGGTTTTTTAGCACTGGTACATCGAAGCTCGTGGCAATCAAAGTCAAACAATTAAATGCGCGCGTCTTGAAATTTGTAGACTTGTTCCTGTAAAGTCCAAGCAGATCAAATTTTATCAATTGCATATAACGCAATTTAATCAAATAGAGACTGAGATGGGCAAATTGAATTTTCGTATAAATTACTCTCATCCGGCGAAGTAAAAATTAAACATTTGTTCTATTACCCTTTTAAGTATAAAGCTTTGTTTAACAATGTTTATATATGATGTATCATAGTAATATTAATCTTCCCAAGAAGTTGAATTAAGTCTATGCATTGCGAAAACACAGGAAATGAGATTTGAACTACATTACTTGTGCTGAAAACACTTGCTTTCAAAATCCATAGGATCATGGACGCGACGTGCAGTGGCTTTTCTGTTCAATTGCATTTGGCCCGTGCAATCCTTTTAGACGAGCTTTTAAATTCGTCATGCTGCTTCACAGATTCCCGAAACGCATATTGCCGGACTTATCCAAGTTTTATCATCCGAGATGAGAGTTCACATATGAAATCTATGAAGCTGCAAGACAATCATATCAGATAATTATTTCCGGTAGCCATTCATCTTTTTACCTTCTATTTCGGTTTTCATAAAGCTCTTATGATCATCCGCTGACAGTGTGACTTGAGTTTTTCGGTCGGTAGTACTGTTTTAATTTAGCACTGCTTTAGATAAGTGATCCCTTATACAACACGAAGTGTATTTATACCTGGTTTTGAACGGTTTTGAAGCCAGAGTATTTCATTATGTGTCTGTATGACCATCACGGGAAAAATGCGATATGGTCCAGCGATGTCTGTCATGCCTGTTTTTCATGACTACTGTTTTCTAACTGTAAAGCTGTTTTCCTAGTCGGCAGTGAGCGCCGTCCTAGTCGACATTCATACCGCCGTACTTGTTGTATCACGTCGTGGTCTACCGGCAGACGTAGCACTACAATTCTTTACTTGTAGAATATCAACTTACTGCTGTGAGTTAACATTGATCTTCACCGTGCGCCGGACAAATATATCCATTGCCTCTAAAGTCATGCACTCTATTTTCGAAGTGCGTGTCAAAAACCAACCAAGTCTATGATACTGTAAAATATTTCGAATATAAATCTTACTTCAATTTTTGGGGAATTACATTTGTCCGAGGTAGCACCGCTGCGATGTAATCCAGAAATGTTGAGGTGCTTTGCTAAATAAAGAACTGGCTCTTTGTTTTCAAATTTAATCTAATATCGCATGCAGTAGAACCAAATGGACGATTTTTATTTAGCATTTTAGTTTTACTTACCTTTGCGTGTTTGGCAGATTGTATGAAAATGACTTCTGAAAAGGCATATTCAACCTCTGACAGCCAGATCGAAAGAAATCAGAAAAGCAGTTTCAAGCTAGGATACGTATTTGCGCAAAGTATGGAGTTGTATAAGACAGATGAATACTGTTACCACACTGATGCGTATTGTCATTATTTTGGCTGGTCGATTTATTATTTACCTAGCATTTGTTATATTTATGATCGTATAGCTTAAGGCTGTTCTAAGCTGTACCAATGTGACATAGCTAATAGAGCCAACTTATAAATGCAAATATGTTCTTTTTTCAGCTACGGTGTGGCTTGTTACATTTGTTTATTATCAATCGTAACTATTTTTGCTATATCTGTTGACATGTGACATACAACATTGCAATTACGAGATCCCAACAGATTTAATTAATTAAAGATTAATTTTTTTAATGGAGAAAGCTTTTTCCGATGCTCCTGATCCGGTCGCCCGCATCGTCGCATATAAGCATATGAATAGAATCATTCTGTTCCAGCACAGTTATATTGAATTATTATAAAATTGAAGTATTTAGAGCGCCTAGCATGTTTGGTCTTTTTTCTCTTCTAAACCAAAGGACAAACAAAAAGGCGTAGCTCAGAAAAACACAAAAGAGAAAGCAGCGTTAAAAAGTCTTGCATAAAATAACAAGGGAGACGGCCATGTTACATTTTGTGTGCTTATGCATTTCCTAGTTTTAAAGATTTACAATTCTCAGGAAGCAAAAAGCGCGCTTTTTGAGATGTGACATTTCTGTAGGCCACAAGCTGTCAAGAAAGAAATAGAGACCGTAAATAACCAGTTAATTCTTCCATTTTTTTTCAGAATGGGATTTACCTTATTATTGAGCTGCGTAAGGGCGTATTTAGGTGCTTTGTAAAGCTTCCTTACTTCGCATTAAATCTGCGCGTTGCCATAACTAAAACCAAAAATGGCAAATCTTCAATTCAAAAAAGTTTTAGTCGCAGTTGATTGCCGTTAAAATTTCGTTCATTTTTTTTATCGTATCACTCTTGCATTGATTGCCAATTATTTAATTTGACCTTAACCATATTTCGTATCGTAGAAAAAATCTCAGGATAGAAAATTCTTTTTGACGTAATTCCACAGGGCCGGGGAGACTAGCCAATGTCGCTGACCTTTTTTAGAGATATGTTTTTCTGTTACCAAATACGTCCCTACAATACCTATGTGCAAATACATTCATTTACCACTTGTTGCCCATTGGATAATTGAACTTGATTTATACAACAAGATCATATTCATGCGAAGCACAGGTGGCAGCAATTTTCGCAGTTGTGGAAGTGGCGGCATGTTACATTTCCAACACACATGCGAAATCGTCTTCCAAGTTTGGTTCATTACTTAGTCATCATTATTTTCGTTTTGGTGGCACGAGGGCTACGTTACCCTCTGCAGTTATATTTAAGCGACTCAACTACGTAAGTTATGAATTAGAAGTGTTATGCAATATAATATGTGGGTATGAGATACCAACGTTCCGATTTTCAAATAATACCGATATAGATCATCATGTCGCGTTACATGTACATCATATATACAATGTAGTAAGTTGTTGAAAGCTCCCTGCCTTTTTTGTATTTTTTTCGGTTGGTTTATACAAATGTTTATATAGAGAGAAATTATAAGACACCATGTGTAGATTATAATAAACTACAACATGCCTTACACTGAAGCTGAACTTTTGAATGCTATATACATTAATTTATGGCTCGAATCTTCTTGTTACATGTGTGTAAAGTGATAATGTTACACATACTTGAACATGACTTACTAAGTATTGGTTGTTACGCGTTTCAGGAGTTAAATATTGATTTAAATAATTGCGTGTATTTGGAATTTTAGCCAGCGTAGGGTGCACCTGTGCGTGAATTTGTGTCGATCTTTGTATTGCATTATCTTGAACAGTGTGATTAGGACTTAACTTTGTGTTGTCTGCGAACATTCACTATTTTAGGCATGTGGAGATGCAAAATCTAAACCATCATTTCTATCAGACAAAAGCTTAGAGTCGTCAATCAAGCATATTGTGAGACGATTTCCAAACGTCGATATCAAAGGTTCGTCTGCTCAGCTTACTCCCGTCTTCCAAATCAAGCAAGAAATCGTCAAAAGCTTGTCTCTCTACTATTATACGTTCGTGGATCTGCTTGATTTTAAGGTAATTGAGCCATATCTATATCAATTGTTATCCATCCTGTTATTAAAGCCGTCAGCGACTTTTTTTTTCCTATGTCCAGTTCCCGTCATCACTTAAGTGACCTGTCACTTATCGGTAACATGTCTATGAATATAGCACGAAAATGAGGGGAAAAATGAGCTGTTTGTCGCTAACTCTTAGCGCTTAATATTTTTTGTAAATGATCCTGTTTAGGAAAAATTAGTCCTTTTAGAGCATTCCTTGTAACCCGCCAGAATCATGTAAAGTGAACATTTTCGATGAAGCTTACGTCTCTAACAAATAAAGATTAAAAACAGCCAATGATGCTGATGACGTTTAAAAATAAAACATCTTTTTTCAATCTAAAAATTTTGCATCTTCATGAAATCTCGTTTCAAGTTTAAGCACTGCTCAGATGCATTTGTCGTTTCAAAAACACTTAATGATTTCTCACCAAAATGTAATAAAAGATCTAATGATTTTTCAATCACTTTTGCGTTTTCTCTACAGGATCATGTAAACGACCTTTTGACGCATCTGGATATGTTCCTAATGGCACCAAATATCTCCTTAAATTTCGACCTGACGAAAGCGTATTTAGACCTCATTACCACATACGTGAGCTTACTGATACTGCTTTCACGCGTAGAGGACCGCAAAGCCGTTCTTGGATTGTTTAATGCAGCCTACGAAATAATACATGGCCAGTGGTGTGTGTTAGCTGTATATTTCTTTGCCTAATGTACTGTGAAGAACATATATAGTCAGCAGTTGCTGAACATTTTATTTTACTCATTTTTAAATAAAAATACATGTAGGAGATACATTCTTACCTTTTTCATCAAATGCGTTCGTTGGCTGTTCTGATAAACCTATTCCTTTCTTACCTTATCATGTGCTCTTATAGTGATCAGAGCTTTCCTCGGTTGGGTCAGATGATTGTCGACTACGACCCACCTCTCAAAAAATTATCAGATGAATTCGTGCCACATTCGAAGATGCTGTATAATGTGCTCTCTTCACTTGTACACGTGTTTCCGCGGCGAAACTTGACAGCAGATGACTGGAGAAAAAACTACCTGTTGAGTCTTATAGCACAGCCGAACAACATGTTAACACCTTCGCAGACGGAGACAATCGCCTGCGAGTACCTTTCCCTTGAATCGATGGAACGCTGGATTATATTCGGCTTTCTGCTCATTCATCCGTTTGTCAATCAACAGCAAGGTCCCGCAAACAAACTGTTCCTTGCGGCACTCAATAACGGCTGGGTAGTCACACTGTTTCGTGACGAGGTTCTTCACGTTCACGCATACGTCCAGCAGTTCTTTGAAGGAATCAAGGGCTACAACAAAAAGTTGACAGAAATTAAGGACAGCTACAACACCGCAGTTCAGCAGGCGTAAGACTTCTACCTGTATTAGCGATTATGTTTGCCCCTAAATATTAACTCCCTAGTTTGCTTACAGTCGTTTGAAAAGATTTCTCGCTGGTTAAAGAAGACCTAGTTTAAGCTATTCATTACAAATGATACAATCGAAAATGTAATACTGGAACATCATTTCTATTCTCTTACAGTAAGTATCATTTAGAATCATACATTTTCTTTGATAGGTAACTTTGAACCAAATGAGACATTCACAGTATAACGCATGTATGACAATAACTTTGCCGACCAGTATAGGCTTGCTACAGAGAAATTATCGGTTATTTGCTCCACTACACGCAGTTAACTAAAATTAAACACGCATACATTAAATTTCTTTCAATCTGTTCCATCGGTTACTGCAGACCCTACATTCATCGAGAAAGACGAAAGTTCCTTCGTTCGGCGCTGAAGGAGTTGGGCCTCCTGTTGTCCGAGCAGCCAGGTCTGCTAGGTCCCAAGGCGCTCATCGTCTTCATGGCATTATCTATGGCTCGCGATGAGGTATTCAAAATCCTCGATATATCAAATACCATATTTAAGATAATATATATATAGAAAGCGCAGAACAGTACAGAATATGAAGCTCCAGAGATACCTATTATAAACATATGCCATTACAATGTTTTTTTTTACCTGCCTATTTCACTTAGCAAATCTAAAATAAGCATTTTTTTAGCAGAAGTTATTGACGACAGTTCATCTGTTACGTCTCAGGTAACTTGGTTGCTGCGACATATGGATAACCCGCCACAAAAGGCAGCCAATAAACAGAAGAATCAAACAAACGACGATCTTTTAGATCGACAATTACCCGAACTTCTGTTCCATATAGAAGAGCTCCGGGGACTCGTGCGGAAATATAATCAGATCTTCCAGCTGTACTTCATCCAGTACCTTGCAGGTTTCGACGCGACTGCACTCAATATAATCCTGTCTAATATGCAAAGTCTTCCCGAAGAAGACTCGCTGGTCTTGTCTTCAATTTGCCAAACAATTTCATCAATGAGCGTTAAACAAGTAAGCATTTTTGGTGACATTACTCTTTTTCTGAAAGGGGGACAAGTTTTGTCCGCTATCAGATCATCTGTACTCGACGACAAGCCATTTTTTAAAATGAATCCGGTTGAACTATGCCAAAGTAACACTACCAACGTTCAAAGGCAAAGTTAATACGATCCTCTATGTTTTAGAGTAACCTGTCCAAGGAGCATAAGCAAACCGTCTGACCATAACCATGACCGTAACCATTTAACTAATATGTCATCTGGGTTTTGTTTCGTTCAGGTGGAAGAAAAATGCGTATTTGACTTGAGAGGCCTTCGATTAGACTGGTTTCGTTTGCAAACTAATGCCGCTTCATCGAAGTACACACTCAACCTCGAAGGACGCTCGGATCTTGCCATACTCATGAACACGATCGTTTTTCACACGAAAATGGTCGACTACCTTGATAAAGTCCTTCAAGAGACCTCGGACCTATCCGTTTTTTGGTAAGCCTTGCTTCCAAATTGAAAATATCCGCATTATATTTTATACAGCTATTACGGCATAGCAGTCAGGCGTATGCAACGATTCTTTCAGTTAAATCTTGGTATTTACTTGTATTAAATTCTCTTCTATATGAAGTTTCTTCAACCGAGCCTTCGAAGACCAGTTTCACCAGTGCCTCGAGTTTCCTGCACAAACCCGTTACGTCGTGGCCTTTCCGCTAATTTGTGCACACTTCATCTCGTGCACACATGAATTGTGTCCTGAAGAGCGCTATCACATCGGTGATCGTTCGGTAACTATGGCGAACGCATTCCTCGATGAGATGGCCAAAGAAGCCAAAAATATTATTACCACCATTTGCGACGAACAATGCTCATTGTCTGATCGACTTTTAGCAAAACATGCGGCCCAACGTATTGCGCACATGTTGCATCGAAGAAAACGAGAGAAGAAAACTGCCAAAAATGGCCCGCCTTTACCTGAACCAGAGGAGCCTGGCATTGAGAGCTATCGAAGGACAAGGCTAGAGCTATCCACGTATGTTATAGCAAGAGTTGCGAAAACTTATTGGAAATTAATATGATGTAGTGAACAACGTTAGGTTAATTTATTGTTGCAGAAATGTTACTTGAAAAGCGAATGGTAACCCAAGATTAGCGAAATGTATTTAATTTTTCATATTGGATGTTTACAGGATGGACAAATTGCACATGGCTTTGACTGAAGTATGCTACGCTATTAATTACTGTCCGACCATGACGATATGGGAGCACACGTTTGCACCTCGTGAATACCTTGCCAGTCAATTAGAAATACGCTTCGCTAAAGCTCTCGTTGGTATGGTGATGTTTGACCAGGAATCGGGTGATATTGCCAAACCCAGCGAACTGCTGAGTTCTGTTCGGGCTTACATGAGTGTTCTCCAAGGCATCGAAAATGTTGGTAAGTAGTGTAAGTACACACATTACATATACTGTTAATTGTTTTAACCTTTACGCTGCAAAGTTTACATACAACCTTTTTTATTTTTTAAATAGTCCTACCACATATGTTCCCATACATGAAAGGTAGCGGGGATTTATGAGTACAACTTTGTGTTACTTCCAGTATCCATCGACATAACGCGCGTCTTCAACCATGTTCTTCTGCAGCAAACCCAAACGCAAGACCGTAACGGGGATAAGACGATCACGTCCCTATTTACTACGTGGTATCTTGAAGTGCTGCTACGCAGAGCCACTGCGGGACACATTGTCTTTTCGCCGTTCCAGAGATCATTTGTTACAATCTCGCAGGATCCTCAGATTCCATACACAGCTGAGGAGTACTCCGACGTCAATGGTAAGTAAGAAACGAGCTTCTAGATTGACATGTTCTTTGCTGAGAATGGTTGCTATTCTCTAATCAGTAATGAATGGATCAGCAATAGTAAGTCAATGCGACAAAACGCGCCTAGTGTGCATGTGTGTGTATATGCTTCTATGTAGAAATTACTAGAATAACAGCAAGGAGGTAAATTTTCGATGAGTTTTTGCTTTTTGCAATCCTCTGCATAATCTATTGGATCTTTAGTCTAACACAATAAAAAACAAGTGCCGTAAGCTCAAAAAAAAACATTTTTTTACAAGACAAAAACCTAAGGTTCTTCATGTGATCAATTTATATATAAATATTTACTTTTATTTCACAATTTTACCAGCGGGAATCTTACGTTCTACTTAGTCCCATACCTTATTGTGGACGATTATTCAAAAATTTGTAAAAACACAAGAAGGCCACTAGGAATAAAAATTCCAAAAAAACCCTGTTTGTCCCGCTTTCTAAAAATAATCATGTCCCTTATACATTTTTCCGCTAATTACCATTTTGTTAGCGACAAGCGAAGAGATACTTTATGAGCTGTTATTGTTTTAAAATTGGAAATATATTTTCATATTTTCTTAGAATATTTATCATGTATTTAAGAAATATATATTTTTTTCTAAAAACAACGTTGTTTTCCTATACCAGAACTTCGGGCTTTGGCTGAGTTGTTAGGACCGTACGGGATCAAACATCTAAATGAAAGCCTGATGTGGCATGTTGCCTCTCAGGTATCAGAGCTCAAGAAAATCGTTGCACAAAATCGCGATGTGCTCGCCGAGCTTCGGTCGAGTTATGACAAACCGGATAAGATGCGTGAACTAGCAAAAGGCCTGCAGATGGTTGATAGCGTTTTACAGCGAATGACGATCGTCGGCGTAATATTGTGCTTCCGTGAGCTAACTCAGAATGCTCTGCACGACGTTCTCGAGGATCGTATCCCGTTTTTGCTTAGCTCCATCGAGGACTTCCATCAAGGTGTGCAAAACAATTCGAATCCCGCAAATCAACTTGCCAGTCTCAGTGTATCCGAGATGGCTGTATCAGGTGGTCTAGAATGTCGCGTCGATCCCGCACTCGTACAGGCGCTCCGTCAGCATGCAAAGAATGGTCAGTACAAATTCTTCGTTCGTTCTTAAAGAGCAGCCTCTACTGATATACTAGTACATAGATATAATATGCATAAAAAATAAATATTTACAGGTCTATTATATTATTAATAGTTACTATCCGTAGCAACATGTACATGGATGTTGATATACTGAAATTGGCTTGGAAATAAATGTTTACTAAAACATTTGCATGCGTTAATAACAAATTTAATAAAGCTTATTACCCTATGTTTTATTTATTTTCTGAACATATTTCTGTTTTACTTCAGAGGGACCTGATGAGGAGTATCAATTAGCGTGCCTGCTGATGGTGTTTTTAGCAGTCGCATTACCCCGATTGGCCCGCAGTGAAGCGTCGTTGTATCGACCACCGCTTGAAGCACACCAAAATAACATCCACTGCTTGGCTCAAGCCATCAATGGCCTCGCAGGAGCTCTGTTCACGCTCTGTGGACAGGGCGACATTGAGGAGAGATTAAAAGAGTTTCTGGCGGTTAGTTACTCGTTATGTTTTTGATTGTATATCATCGTAGAATATATTTCATTAAACTAGGTGTTAGTAGTCTAGTTATTTAACCCCTTATGTACTTAAAAGTTAAGTATGGAAGTACCTAACTTTTCCGGTAATATATTAACTTTATTAATAAAATGTAGTATTTTATATATCGTTGCAACCACCTATTCTTGTTACTGTTTCAGCTTGCCTCGTCGTCAATGCTCCGACTAGGGCAAGAAGCAGATAAGGAGGCTATTCGCCACCGCGAATCGGTCTATATCCTACTTGACCTTATTGTGCAGGACTCACCTTTCTTGACTATGGACTTGCTTGAGTCTTGCTTTCCCTACGCGCTCTTACGAAACGCCTATCATGCTGTCTACAAGCCGGATGCCATGATCGGCCACGTACCTGCGTAAATCCTTTATTTACTTGGTGCGATAGAGACGATCACGGATGCGGAGACAAGAGGAAAAAATTGTAAGAGAAATACGAATCATACAAGTACCGCTAGTCCTGGCGCTCAAATACAGATGAACATGAACATTATCTAGGTGTGCCGCTTAATCTTTGAAGTTACCTTACCGGAAATAGGTTGGTAGCCAGACATCATACTCGATCGTTTTTTATACTTGATGACTTGGTGCCGAAACGAGAATCAGCATCTAATTGCCCACATCGACCTAGACCTTTGCTTCAGTCGATAGGAAAGTTTAGCAGAAAAGGGTACGCGCATGTTCATAATTGGGACAGAGCAAGAAATGCTATGGAGAACCCTACGGAAATGCCATCAAGCATGGAGACGCAGACGGTAAAAAACGGCGAGAAATGAGTCGAGCTTTGAGTAGATAATTAGGTAATTCGGTAATTCTTACACTTACGATTATTTCATAATGACACCTGTTAAAGTCGACTTTCGTACAAAATACTTGCCAACCCATGCCCGAAGAATGAATGGCTAGAATCTGCAAATTCGCAGAAGTGTATCACACAACTGGCGCTAGCCGATGTCACAGTAAATACTAATTGAATAATGTGTCGGCTATTAGCTACACTGCTACTAAGTCAAGGTCCTACTTCAACACATTACTTTAACGTTGAGTTTTATCGCACAACAATATTGTGGACAAAGGAAGGAAAGAGTTCATAAAATGACACAGAAAACCTGGAAGGAGAAAATTAAAGGAAAGTTTCGGAAATAAGTTGTGTCGCAGCAGTAATATAAACGCACTAAATAACGAACGCTGTTTTGAATAATAATAACAACGAGCACGATTATTATAGTATATTTAATCGAATATTACCTGTATATAGTCTTCGTAAATAGTATGAACGAATATATATATATATATTATATATATATAATCAATGTATGAATGTAGATGATTGAATAAACATAGTCAAACGTATTCCTGTTATTTCCTTTACTGCACGTATTGAAGGCAAACGTTTTATGGTGGCAGTCCTGATACTTAAAAATAAGCTTAGTCCATTATTTCTATTGATTAAGGCACTCACTTTCACAACTATCTACACGTACGAAGTCATGAACTACACGAAATTCTATTTGTCTACACACTGAATTTCAATTGTACCTAAATAATATACATATTTATACACGATCAGTGACACTAGCACTGTTAAGCGAATTGGGTGACGACTACAAAAGCTCACTTTGTCGCACCTGTTCTTGCGCCTTTGCTCGCATCTTAGCCAGGACCATATTCTCGAAATCAAGGTCGTCTTGAACCGACCTCGCCGTACCTGGAGGAAACGTTACTTTCGAGCTAATCGAGGCCTGCGCCTCCTTCGGACCTGTCCCCGACGCCCAGCTAAGCATTATTGGATTCCTTGAAAGGCCCTTTTCATACCGGTGTGCCGACTGTGCACTGCGAGTTTCTTCGAATTCGACGATGGCGCTCCCAGATTTCTTTCTGGAAACTACCAGAACTGCAATTTTACCATATCGTTTAAGCAGTCGTCGCAATTCGGGCTCATCGTAACTGCCTAGCTTTGAATCCCATTTGATTTTAAGCCTAGAGCACTCTATCTCCGCAACAGCTTGTTCTCGCGCACGGGTTAACTCTTCGCGAAGCATTTCCCGCATACGGCGATTCTCTTCTTCTAGAGTTTTGGATCCCTCTTTGCGAAGTTTCTCAATATCTCTCTGTAGTTGTCGCTCCAGCTCATCCTCGGATAGCCTGACTTCCTGAGCTCCTCTTTCACGAGCTTCTAGGTCTTCCTTAAGTTTCCGCCGTTTTACATCTAATTCTCGAGCCCGTAGTAATGCGTTCTTTTTCGCTTGAAGCAGCGTATCATATCGGGCCCGAGTGACCGGGTCTGACAAGATTTCCAGTGCCTGAAAAAAATTCAGCCAATGGTCATGCCATCCTCCATAAAGGAATATCGTAAATTTAATAACAACGAGTGTCTAAAATACACGTATTTAAAAAAGTCTGCTAGTATTATGACGCAATAATAGTTGCACTGCTTACATCGGTTAGCTGCTGAAAAAGTTGTGCACTCTGCGGATTATCAGGATTCTTGTCTGGATGGCATTTCAATGCCTTCTTGCGGTAGGCGGACTTAATATCCTTTTCGGCAGCGTCGCTCAATACGCCCAGTAATCCATAAAGATCCAATTTCATGAGATCAGCTGCCTTTTTTTTCTCCGCAGCCATTTTTTCTTCGGTGACTGTGTATTACCTGCGCACTACTAACATGTAAATTTAAGACAAGTCAATTTGTCTTCTAACTAATCATACCAAATAAACACATGATACTTTAGACTACTTTAACTCAAAGTAAAAAGCTATGCGTAATCAGGTGTTCGGACTTAACCGTATACGTATTTTCTGGGCCATGTATACGCGTTTATGGGATCATACGGCATCTATTATGGTGCATTTGTCTAAGTTTCAACTCTGCAGAAGCGCAAACAGGTAGAAACAAAACGTACATAATCAATATTCAATATGTAATTCACTATAAGTTCCAAAAAAAGTTACTGTAGCTAGAGAATGGCAGCGTCTTAGCATCATTCAGTGGGCTCAAAAGACTAGTTAGTTTTAAACAAATTTGATGAGCTTGATAAACCGTAATTTTTGCTCTATTTTTTATATTGGCTTATTGTAATTATGTAAACAGCCCGAAACACTATTACAAAGCTAATATACGTCTCAGGGCGCTTCTAACAATAGAAATATGTGCCATGGCAGAAGAAAATGCACTCGAACGTTATTTCACTTGGCATATATTTCATTGCGGCAAACTAGTTATACGGACATTCACAGACTTTTCATCAACTACAAAAATCATGAAAAATTAGTGGTACTCATAAAATATTATGAAAGAATACGCTTGTTTAAAGTAAACGTAAAAGACTGTATTATATTGCGCCTAATATATTGCAATTTAAAATACTAACTAAGCAAAAGAGTCAAGTAATAATCGACTAGCTACAATTAGACAGTGTTTAGATCAATCTACTTACCAGAGAATAAAATTATATTTATCTCTGATGTCCCTTTATAGGAAACATAACGCTGCAATGCATTAAGGATCAAAAGTTGTTATGTGTCCTCAAAGCAGACGATGCCCAAAGTAAACAGCGGCACTTTATAAGCACTTGAAGCGGTATTTTCAAACCGCCCGAGTGTGTCAAAATTTCCAATATTTAAAAGCATCAAATTGTCCTATCAATGAAAAATAGAAATCCGCCAAAAAGTAAAAACGAGCTTTGTATTCCAAGGTTGCTACAGCTCAAACGAGGGCTCACAATGATAAGTTAAGGATCTACAGCGTATGTCGTACATCTAACTTGTTTGTAGTTTTTGTAATATGAACATTTTCCATTTGTACATAAAATACGTAATAATAAACATCTATGGAGGCTCATTTAAGTAGCACATAGGCGTAGATATTCTCAGCAAAAGTTTGTGTCATATTTTCCTTTGAATGTAGAAATTTCATTTCCTAAAGGCTTGTTCTTGGAGAAGAGCTTATTTCTGCGTAAGTCGATTTTCGTTTCAGGGTTTAAACTTTTTCTCAAAAGCATATAATTTAACCGGGTAATTGTGTTTTTCTTTTTTTTTTTTTTATTTACTTGTATCTAGAATACCCGTTGATTTGTGTCGTTTCCACCCTTGACATTAAAATCTGTAAGAAATGAGTTTTAATTTTAGCTATGCGAGGGGCCATTGATAGGTATGCTAAAATGTTGACAAAGTATAGGTACATGGCACCTATGAGCATATATGGCCAGATCAAGTACATTTAGCTTACTTAAGGAGCTAAAGTTAACAAAGAAATTGATTAGCTTATCTTTAGAATATGGACTAGCTTTATTGCAATCTATAACAAGTTTCGTTTGCAGTTACAAGTCAAACGCGTTAATAAATGCGTTACGTTAAACTACTCGATGGCACTCACGATAGCTCGAAGCTTGGTTTATTTCGAATAAATAGGTAATTCATATCCAAGTCTCATTGTCGAACGTAAGTATCAAAAGATGATTTACTTACTACTTCTATCATTTGCTTAGTAAATAAACTGAATAATAATTGGATCATCGATATTTGTTTAAATATTCATTAGGAAATGGAATTAATATACACAGGCATTTTAGCCCATCCTTAAGTCAATTGTCAATGCCCTTAAATGCCGTTGCTTGTTATACCATAATATTACTTGCTGCTTTAATTTTGTCAATCGCCAGCTGGCTTTTTCGCTGCTGAATTTCTCTGCAGGCGGAGTTAGATAAGCGATGAGCGTATGCAACTCATGTGAAGGTGCTCGGCATATCTGTCCGTCCCGTTATGTCCATGATCAGGTCCCCCAGCTCGGCACGTCTGTCTACCTAGTCCATCGAGAGTGCGCCGCATGGTTAGCCAAGTTGCGGTAATAGCTAAAGACCATGACCATGCTAAGATGTCTAGACGGCACTAAGCAACATGACTTCCGTGGGTGTCGGTTCTCGATGAAGGCTTTGATAGCGAAGACTGGGCCTTTGACAAGCGGGAGCAAGGCAAAGCGCGTTTGATTTTTCTATTCAACCAAATCAGCCATTCATTCACTGAACAACCCGAAGTCTGACTTCAGGTGAAGCTAAAGGAGAGGTCTTACAGCTTGAGTGCTAGCGCCAAAAGAGTGAATCGGAATCAGCAGTCCCTGAGATATTGCTCTCGATATTTGCACGGTCTCTGCTGTGCTGAATGGGTGCATTCCGCTAATTAGGGTGTCGTTGTCTATGTGTCATCCCTTCTAAGTTTTTCTGAAGCAGTATCTTTGAAAAGCAAATGACAAGATACCGTGTATTTCACTAAAGCCTTGTAAAAGAAAATACCGCACCATCCATCACGTTTTTCTGCTTACCATTCAATAACTATATGTTGTACTTGATTCGCGGTTCAAAAAAGCGTAACTTTGCATGGGCTAGCTGAATCCATGTTAGATGATTGCAGGGGCATTTTCTATTATGACGTGCGTTGAAGTTCTAATGTTGATCTATGGCCATGTTTTTGCAAATGATCAATAAACAAACAATTTCAGGCTATCTTTTCGTTATTTCACAGGAATAATATGTAACCCTGTTATTAACAATGCTTCATCTTAGCTTTAATCCAAGACGGTTTACTTCAACCTAATCAATTGGTAATTGCCAACTGACAAAGGCTTTCACGTGTTTACAATGAAGTCCGCCTCTTTTTAGGAGGCTCTCTATGAAAGTCTCGTGTAATTTACTTACGGCAACTTTGGAGGCTACAGTTTTTCTACTGCTATCCTTCTGCGTATAAAGAAATCAACAAGTTAACGATTTAGAAAGCAGGGTCAGCTCTATTATTAGAAATGACGTCATGTTATTTATGCCTGTCGACTCAATGCCATACACACTGTACAGAAACTGGAATACGGACATGTACACGTTGATATCTCCAATAATTAACTAGGAACATATAATTTGTTAGCAGTGCATCGGCTTAGCGCAGTCGATGCACTGTCTTTCTAGTACTTATTGGACGCTGGGCACTATAAGATATGCATGAGGATAACGGCAAGTCAGTCTTTCCATTTTTCTACTTGCTTATTCGGACCGCGGGTACGAATACGTAGGATAGTTAAATCATCCATTATTATGCCCTGTTCGAACTTTCCCCGGAGGAAACGATGGACTGCTCATTGGCTAGCGGCTTTACTACACTTCTTCTGCCCCTACAACGATCACCAGCGTCAACGCGTGCTGTGCTTTTCGTTCGAAGCTACAGTTTGCTAGAGGCTTCTGCGGGCCTCGAATTTAGTCAAGTCTGTGACCTAATGAAAAGGAGAGATCAATTCTTATTTCCTAGAAGGGAAAAAAGTGAAGGAGTACGTGGAGGCTGTATGGAAGGTAGCGCAAACGACGGCGGTTCGTGATCTAGGAGCGTTGCCTATGCTGGCCAGAAGGTCTCTAGCACTTCATAAGTTCCTTAGCATGTGCACGTATGCGCTGCACGCGACTTGGTCCATCTATTGATTTGCCCCCGCTTTCCGCCCAAAACGCAAAAACAAGCGTGTCGGTTAGCATACAAGCCTAACAAAACCAAGATTTCGATCGTCGGCCTAAAACACTATTCTTGTATAGCTTCGCCTAACACCAGCGCATGTTACTTATTGATTTTTCAAAAACATCTCCGCTGGTCCGACTGTTTTTGTCAAAGGTCTTAGGTGGGTGATTCAGCAAGGAACAATTATCGATAACGGCTAGGTACTATATATGTAGCATACAGAGGATTAAGAGTCGTCCGTACCTAAAAGTGATGAAACCACTTAAAACGGTAATTCTATGTAATATTTTTTCTTTTGCGTATATAAAATTTGTCAAAAAACCTATATGCTTTAATATTGTATAAAGTTATTGAGGATTTATTTCTGAGAGACATATATCATATCAACTTACAGAAAAGCATAATAGAAAAATACACTTTGCCTACATATAGGGCAGCAGGAACTTTAGGTGCACGCCAATAATTTTAATGTTGAACGAACATCTTTTCCTCACTGAAACGTGACGTTAATTAATTTTCACATGCGCTTTGAGTAACTATGCTAGTAAAACTTTGCTATTTTAAAATGCGGTCAGTACGTTTCATACTACTACTATAGTACTATAACCGGGCTTTTCTTGCGTCCTCACGCACTTGCCTCAGCGCTCAATTTCCAGGCGCATTTCAAACCCAATGGGTTCCAGTTTCATTTCTGAAGTGATTGTTATCCAAGAAGTCCCTTTATGTAATATAATAAAACCATTTATTTTGGTGATTACTTATGCTTTTAAACGTATTCTACGGTTTATTAATGATTTACTTAGATACTTAATTAGATTAGCAAATAATGAATTTATTTGCTAGTTTATATATATATACACTTGCAAATAAGAATAGAAGCTAATAGGTTAAAATGATTGGTAGGAGAGCCAATAAACAGAATAGGATCCAACGAGTAGCCCTACATGTAGACGGACATCCTCGAGGTGCTTTTCGAAGAACGCTCTGTCGCTTGGCGGTTTTTCAATGACGATTGACAAGTTCCCATGGCAGCATATATTCACACAGCTATAGATAGATTTTCCCTGGAACATTTACTTCAAACGGATGTAATCCTAACCGAACCGGTGTCGAACACAAAACTTGTGCTAATTACGAAAACGACAGAGGTTTGTTGTATTATAGTGACTAAAATCGAAAGCAGGTTTTCTTTATTTAGTTACGCTTGTCGTCCTTCTTAACCTTTTAAACTTCCTTATATAATATAGGCTACTTAAAAAATGCCACGTTTTCATTGACTTCATCTTCAACTCCTGAGTCTTCTTTAGCTTTTCGAATCTCGCAGCTGAGTTAAATGGTACTACTTCCGGAAATCGAAGTTCGAAAGCTCTGGCCAAGATTAGAAGCAGCGCATAGGTCCCTCAAACAGCACCGAGCGTCGTCAATTCAGAATCGATCGCGGACCGCTTTCTGCCGAATGTTAAAACTTGCACGTTAGGCTACATTTTGATATCACCTTTTCGATCAACAAACAGACTAACAGATAAGTTTTATAGGTCTGATATAAATAATAATAATTGGGTATAAATAATTAACCAGGACTTTAAGCGACTCTTTTATACGCAAACTATTCACGACGAACTTATTTTGCAAATAGTTATTGTAGGTACTTTATTAGTTATAACTTTATTAACAAATGACTTCCTTTGTTATTTGCCTACTCGAGCCCATGACGCACTATAAATAACAAAAAAAAAACCGGTGACATTAGCTGAAGATTATTGAAGTTATCCTGCATGACCACGGTTGCTTATTTTCTCAAAGTTGGCCGAGACGAACGGGCAGATGCTTCGTGTCGTATGTGGTAATTTGAATATTCTGTGCGCATTGGGAATAGGGACATTCGACCACATGAAAATGTCAAGAAATCTTTGCGGTAGGCTACCCCATAAACAGCCAGCTAATGTTAACATTTAGAGACAAACACTCCTTACAGCAGAGGATACATGAACGTCATCAAAAGCTACGGTCTACTTTTCTGTTCCATAGAACTGTTTTGAATATCTTTATGTTAAAGGAGGCCGATCTCTGATCATCCTAAAACTAAGCTACCTTTACTTCACAAAGTTGGCCGCATTAATTACATCCGCCGAATTTTATTTAATTTATGCATATTGACGATGATTTTCTTGAAATTTTTCGTGTATTATACTCTTTAATTATTGGCTATCTTTTACTTTTTCATCTGCTTTCCGTATACGGACTAACGGCTGTAATCCCACAGTCTACTGATTCTATTCTGATTAGTTTCTTATCAGTTGGATCCACAATTACGAGGTTCAATTTCTTGAGCTGACGAGGCCGTAACTCTCGACATGTTGGATGTTGCTATTATATTATATATATTATTCAGTAAATAGGCAGTGTATAATAGCAATAACAAATAGATACTTGCTTTATTGTGACACGTTTACTCGTTTTCACTGTAGTCGTTTTGCAGTTAGTCCGATGTAACTTTTAAGAGAGTCTCTAAAATTTCGAAATGACAAAAATATTGCACGGCACGCTCAAGGTCATATGAGACCAGAATTGGAAATATCAGCCAAAAAAACATACTGATTGGATAAACTGAATACTATATGATGTGTTAAGCAGCCGGTGACTTTCACAAAATATTAACCTGAATAGTTTGTACTGACTAAATTTTTAGAGCTTTGAAGGTCGGCATTAGAAAATATCTGAAGCGCGTATTTAGCTGAAGACCAGTTGCTGTTCACCATATTTACCATAAAGGTACCTAACGTTACCACGAGGCCTTCAAACCTATTTACTGACTAGTTACACCCAGATCAAACTATAACTTAATATTTGAACTTGATATGCGTGCTTTACTGATGGCCTTCATGAAATCTGTGAACAGTAATGAATTGTCCAAGCTATCCTTAACGAATTTCAAGAAAAGCCACTCGCCTTTAAGGAGTTTCATCTGAGTGCGACTTTTCCCAGTACTTAAGATTGCATTGCGAAGACGCCACGACGTCATCGATACCGTCACATAGATAATTTGCAGAGCGGACACCACAAGCGAAAACATTAATACGGCCCACAACAGAAGATAGATCTTCTCGATGAGGACATTCATAGCTAGCAGGCAGAGAGCATTGATGTACTGTATATCGCCCGTGGGACCGTACGCATGGAGCGTACATTTGGCAGTCTTAGGAAAAACGGCATCAAGAACGGGCTTACCCATAACCCACTTTGGAAATAGGGTAATAAATTGATTGTCGAGAAAGCTCTGCGTCAGGCTTACCTGCGCCACGGCGTTTATGAAATAAAGAATCTGACTGAATATGAACCAATTAACATATCGCTTATTGTCGCACTCAGGACGAAGTGTAAACAGAAGGGCAAGTTCGCTTATACGAGGCTCACGCTCATTCATCGGCATTGTTTCAAGTTCATATAACCGCTCAAGAAGTTTTTGAACTCGGCCTCCTTCCATGGCTTTCCAAAGTATTCGGGGTACCTACAAAAGCAGTGGATAGAACGGTTAAATAATTAAAATAAAGGACTACTTCGTCTAGCATGTAAAAACGTATTGGGAGATGACCCTATGTTTAATACAATATCTGTGAGTACTCTCTTCAAAGATTGTGATGAGGAGACAGAAAATTAAGTTTGAGCAAAAGACATGGCGATTTTGTTTTACGGTTTAAAAACAACGGTTGTCTGTTTCTTTCTTAAAAAAATTATCGCATATCTTCATTCATCGTACATGTTTCAGAGTATCGGTTAGCAGGAGGAATAAAAAGCTATTTAGAAGCAGACAGACAAGACTGGTAACCACCATCTAGGACCACCTATATCCGAACGCAACAAGCTTTGCACAACTAACATGAGAAGTCTCGCTATTTGTCATAATCGACTTGAAATCAATCAAACTGACAGAAACCATAGACATGGTTTTTTGACATATATATAATGTTATACGAACATTTACGACTAATGCCTACCTATTTACATATTGGGATAATTCTTCTGAAGCTCCGTTTGACGGCAAAAGATCACCTGAAAATTACCTGAAAACATGCAGCTTGCATAAGTAGGCAAAGAGTAACCCATTGGTAATAGCGTATATATACGACGCGATTTCTGGAATCTCCATAAATGTTCTTCACTCCTGGGAAAATGTTCTCTTCTGCAGATGGCCCATCAACGATAAACATCGACTGTGCGTAACACCACTGTTTCAGAAGACTGAGAAAGAACATAGCTCCATGTTGACTTATGTACTGATATATTAGAGTACGCACATACCTATATGGTATCATACATTTGCACGTGACAACGTCATTACACCGTATGCGGATATCTTATTTAACGACGTAACTGTTCTTCTGTATCATGATTTTCTGTGACAAACAAACAAGAAGGAAGTATCAACCAACTTCTACCATATTAGGAATAGGGTACTAACAAATGTAACGAGTAGCTAACTAAAACCCAGGCACAAAACGGGTAACCTCTCTTTAGCGGTTACAGCAGGTTTTTTCAGTTTTGACGAAACTTCCACCAACGATTTTTGGGCATTTTCGGAGCTTTTAGGTTTAACGATATATTCAGGTTAGTCGCTTTGTAGAAGAGCAACAGCTTCTGATCTGAATTTACCTTTGCTAATCTTCTAGCCCGTTGTGCCTCACCTAAGCGAGCTGGCATTTTTGCATTTATACGAAGCTTTCTAAAAAAAAAAAAGTATTCTCCTAATCTAGAACGATGGTACAGGCGCGGTGACTTTTAGTGGAAAGTTCAGTGAAATGTAGTCCATGCTTTTCATATCAAATGACTATTGGACCTGACCTCACGCCGGCAACGTGACGTTAATCCTACGCCGAAAGCGAGGTCAGCGAATTTTCACTCATTTACCTATTACTATATATCCAAACAGTGTCCAATGACTGTTATAGATAGAAAAATTACAGGCAGTACCAATATCCACTGAAAGACGCCGCGCTAAATATCGTAGCAATAAATTAGCAATTTCAAAGTTACTCACGAGCTGTCAATCATCAGATTATCTGGTCTCATGCATTCTATCGGTGAGTACCAAGACGTTACCCCAGTGAGAATGGCGCAGGCCAGTATCACTCCAAATGCCAGCTTGTAGTGTATAGCACTGAGCACAGTGTCCGTTGTGTAGTCAGATTTCGGTTGGAAGTAGCGCACGGCAGAAAATAGGACGCCGTCTAGACGAGACATTGTCTGCAGGTTCTAATTAGCTAGTTAAACTGAGAAAAACTCTGTATAACATTGGATAGTCAGTTTTCAATTTTTGATACAACGGGTAGCGCCATTAACAAATTCGTGTGGTACTCTCGCACGGATTTTTTGACTTTAAACGATAAAGACCTAACTAAGGGCACTTAATTGTAATATTGATCGAATGTTAAGTTAGTAAACGAAGAGCATAAAATCACGAACTTCTTCACAAACTTCGTTTCTAACTCAATTGAATGGCAATTGGCGAGCTGCGACAATCAGTTGGCGAGGTAAGACAGTCAAAGAAAAGAGGTAGAAAATCCGTCAGTTGATATGTTCAAATTCTCGCGCGAGAAAAAACAAGCACGCCATTTAGCTTGATTAATGTAACGTAGGATTATTTAAAAAAAAAAAAAGTGCGCTTGACATTTCTGTAACGGCTTTTACAGCTTTTTTTGTTTAGCTCTTTCTAGAATTTAGCGCTATAGGTTAATATTTTTAATATAAGGACTACGGATGTTTATGAAGGCTTCCCGGCACCAAAATTGTATCAGATTCTATTCATGAGAAGTAAGCTGAATTTTTGACTAAAAACGATTTATTGGAGTGAGCCATAATGATCATATATTGATTTTTAAAAATTGTTGAGTTATATCATCGAAGTAAACCACCGATTTAGAGGTTTTACTGTACTGAAAATGGAAAAAAAAAAAAAAAACGAACAAATATTTACGCTCATGTTTCTTTATTTCATTTACATCAGTCATGTAGCATACGCCACTGATAAATGCGACCCCTGGATTTCTCCGCTGAGAAAAACAAATACTCCTATATAAAGCGAAATACTCGTGGCAATGGATTACCATTAAGTTGAAATTATAGTTTTTTTCACAGCAAGCTTATATATGGGGCTGTAAAGGGAAGACAGACATGTTTCCTCAAACGGATACCTAAATAGGTTTTGACATCGTTCAATGACTCTCGAAGAACTACGTTACCTTCATATAGAATTTGTTGAATACAAATTGACTTGATAAAAAGCTTAGAGTGTTTAGGCTGTGTGTCACGTTACCCTGAACGATATAATTGCGGCTGTTGCTCAATAACAAAGAAAATCACTGGACGAATGGTAGTGGTGTGGTTCGTGGAGATTTTAGTATTGCGCCTCTGAAAAAAGGATGGCACCTTTACAGATATATTCTATAACAAATGCAATAGGCAGTTCCTTTTAGGTATGATCCGACCATCATATTACTGATGAATGAATATGGCTCACAATCCTAGTTAATCATGAAATGCGTGCTGTGGACCATTCTATTAAGCCATCAGGTTACAATGACAGACCACTTCTATCTTAACGTCGCGTGGAGGGCCGATGTTGCGGCTGGTCGGTTACGGAAATGTCTGACAACGACTGAAAGAACGAAATAGAAGGAGGCCCCTACAGACAAAAAAAAACACAGAAAACACTAAACGACGAAAAACCTATGAACTACCTGTGTAAAGACAACATGATGAAATAGAATTAACGACAACAAATTCGATAGACATTGGCCTCAGCGGCGGTGGCGGCGGCGGCGGCGGGCATTACGAATAAGGACTCGACAACACACCATTGCTAGTCATCGGAACGCAAAGCTGCACCTCCTCGGTTCGTTTTTATCTTTCATTCTCAATAGATTCCGACACAGTACACGGCGGCGTAGCTCGCGTTCGGTCGACAGTAGATGCAATATGGCGAGGAACGCTAACAACAGACGATGACGTTGAGGGGGTTACAATTTTGCGGCGATACCACCGCTTCACTTTGCTTCATTGGCCTGGAGCAGCAAAACAGAAAAGGCCGAAGAACGCTGCTCGGAGAGCTACCCGCCGACAAGATAGGGCAACAGTATACAATAAAATCCACGTTCAGGAGCTCCGAAGTATAGAAGAGCTGACGCACCACCTTCACAGAAAAAAGAAAGTCAAAGTCAAAATCAAAAGCGCCAACCGAAAGCACGCCATGTGTAGATAGCATGGATCTAAACCGAGGAACGTGATAGCGCGAGTCGTTCGACCTTGCTACTGCTGTGCCTATCGTTTTTCGCGTTCTGTGTGAGCCTGCTCTTCGGTCCGAGGCGAATCCTGTCTGCCTACTCATACAGAAGGCCGCAGAACAGAAGTCGTACTCAAAAAGACACATTAGTAAAGTCAAGTACAGGGAATTGGCAGTAGTCCGTTAGCAACGTCACTTGCTGGTTGTGAGGGCGGTTGTAGGCTCGTTGGTACGTTGATGGCAGGCCTGTGTGCGATTGATGTGCGCACCCGTTGAGATGGCTGTGTGCTGGGGCCTGAAGCAGGAAGCGAGCCTCAGTTTTGCGTCTGTAGGAGAATCAGACGTAGACTTTTTGGTGTATAGTAGCAAAACGGCCGGCGAGACTGCCTGACACTGGATCTAAGATAGCATACAAAAGTAAAGCATTAACGGGGAACATCGGTATTACGAACGTGCTTGGGTAAACTGTGACGTAGAATGGTAGCTGGCATTGGAACCGATTTTAGGAGCAAAGATAACGATGGCACTGGTAATATCACCATCATTATGGTATTAACAGTGCCCAACAGCTACTCAATAATAAAAATGTCCTGGTTAAGGTTAATGCGGCCTCATGTTCATAAGCATGAATTTTGCCAGAAAACTCGGGTGCAACGTAATGTAGGTGATCGGCATGAGCAACAGATGTGAGTGGGGTCTGGTCGTCATGACGAGCGGTAAAAAGGCCATTGCACAGGCGATGAGCAGAGTAGCACATGTCCGAACAGCAGAACAAGCCCAGCATGAGTATTATCACGAAGATGCTCTATTCCCCACAAACGTACAATTCAAGGATCACATCGGATCTTACGTAGCGTTCGTCATTCGAAGCGTCGGCAAATATTTGTCTAGGGGCTGAAAAGAACGCTATATACAATTAGTCTGCATGTTTTCATCTAAACCACATCAGAGAATTATCGCATAGTTGTTTAGAAGAATCGTTATACGGTGGAGAAGGCCTTTTGCTTATCGAAGAGGATAGCTAATGTACTTTCATCAAAAGACAGTGTCCATAACAAGAACAAGGAACGGTTAGTTATAGACTGGAGCCATTAAGCCCGGAAGATAAGGCAGTTAGCCTTAAAAATTGACGGCGTTTATAAGATGCATATGAAATGTGTGCTGTTTGGGAGCATTTGGTGTGTGGCACGACAATATACTAGCATAGGAAGGTTTACTGTAACATAGCCTGGAGCTAAATATGTGCTTTAAAAAGCTAAGTCAAGCATAAATAGCGAGAACAAAACTAATATTGGGTAGCTAAATGAAGATCTTTCTTCAAGCTAATGAACGTGTTCAAAACCGTACAGCAAGTTCCTCAGTGTTGCTTCTTATTCTGTCCTCTGCGACTTCAGCCCAACTGATATTCCACTTAGACACCTATTAAATTCAAGCTTAGTTCGAGTATCCTAAAGTCGAATCATCTATGGTGTCAGATGGAATGCATTATGGGCCGCTGCTATACGCTATCGCTGTCCGCGTGCGAGATTTCCCTGCACGGTCCGTCGCCCTGAGTCGATCGGCTGCCTCGCGTGGGAACAGTTCCCATGCCTATGAAACCTTATCCACCACCTCACTAGCGTCTCGGCAAGCCCCGAAAAAAAAGTGGTAGCTTCAGCGTACCATGTATCCGAACCTTTATTTTCTTATGCCACGCGCGCGCATCAGACGTAACCGTTCGAGAAGCCGGTGAGTGGGGAAAGTGGCCATACAAATGTTGTCGATGAGTGTAGAATGCAGCGAATGGCAGAAAGCGGCGAAGAGAAACAAGCTTTGTCAAGCGTCAGCTAGCTTCAGACGGATCACCCTCATCGGATACACTTTTTAGACTCATTATTTTACATAACGAACAAGCACGCTACTCTTTTCTTTAGTATTTGACTACACCGGGCCTATTCAACAAAGATGAACTGGATTTATAGTTGCGCTGCGTAGCAATTTTTTACCCATTTGCGCCGGGGCTAGTAATCCTAAATATGAACGCCATGGACAGCATGTGACTGACATGACGTTCTATGCTGCAGATCACAGGGATACTGATAGCTGTTCACGTTCGGATCTGAATGCCTGTATGGTGTAATGGTAACTTATTGTCCTATTTCAAGCATTACTAAAGTGACCTAGGTTTAAATATGTGGGCAACCTGGCGGAGACACACTTCAGTTCATGCTAGAAAGAGCCAACCTTCTGAAACAATGCTTGACAATTAGGTAAGTCTGAACTTACACATAAACACACTTTAATAAATCCAATAAAAATCCGACCGAAGGACTAATGAGTAGAGTACTCTCTTCCATCCTCGACCCCTTCCGATTACCTATATTGAGCCAGCTACCTATAAACTCTTAAAATATCGTTAAAACCTTCTACTGCTGGTTCATAGCTGGATACGGATACATGGACAGACACTAGAAAATGTTATTTAGTCCTTCATTTACTGCAAACTGTCATATCGTCGGTTAGCGTAAATATCTGTGTACAGAAAATTTACTTTCGTCACTATGAGTGCGTCCATGAACGCTAAAATAATACGCCATTCGAAAGTTCTATCGCAAAGTAAACCTTCTCTAAGGCGGCCGGCGTGGGGGTCAGGACACTCATTCTTCTGTGGACATCGCAGTCTTCGTCCGTTCGCTGTCAGTCGGCCAGTTAGCTTAAGAGAGAGATAGTTAAAAAATGGCTGATTCAGCCGGGCAACAGGTATCAGTCAGCCACCGAGCGATGCATTTGCTCGTCATCTCACCGCTGCTATTGAACTGTCTATTTCAACTTTTTTTTTTTCTACCTTTATGCGCTTTTTTTGGTATGGCCACCGCTGCAGTTTTTTTCTATTGGTATTCTCTCCCTTGCTCTTTGCACCTTTTATTTTGTTTTTTCTGCAGTTCTATATTTCCCCTTTTTTTGTCGCTACTGCTTCTTGGGTAGGATTCTCCGACCCGGGCGTGTGACGATGCTTTGGCGACGCGGGGAGCACTGGACAAATGGACAAGCGGCCGATCGCCTCGACCGCCCACGCGAAACCGCACGCGACTGGAGTCAAACTGAGCTTTTACAACGAAGCCGACTAACCGGTAATCAGGGGGTTACCGGTTACGGACAAAAAAGCCATACCGACCACAACAGCAATTCTATGGCGGCTGCACAAGCCGCTATCAACAATGCCAACCCGCCTGCCGTAGACAACAAAAATTGAATGGCTTCGAGA